GCTGGAATTTAAATGTGTGACTCCAAGCTTAATATTCTTTCCAATAATAATAATATAGTTTATTTTTATAGAATGTTTATGATTTACAAAACACTTTACATATATTCTTCGTCTGACCCTCACAACTGCCCCCTGCTGAGGCAGGTACTCTAGGTTACCCTAATCCTCATTTTTCTGATGGGGATTTTTGTTGTTGTTGAGTCATTTCAGTTGTGTCCAACTCTTCCTGACCCCATTGGAGGTTTTCTTGGCAAAGATACTGGCATGGTTTGCCATTTCCTTCTCCAGCTCATTTTACAGATGAGGAAACTGAGGCAAACAGTTCAGTGACTTGCCCAGGGTCACACAGCTAGTAGGTATCTGAGGCAGGATTTGAACTCATAAAGATAAGTCTTCCTGATGACGAGGCCAGAGCTCTGTCCGCCACACCACCTCATCTCCCTCCAATGGAGATACTGAGGCTCAGACAAGATGACTGGCCCAGGGTTATCCTAGCTAATAATTTCAGAGATAGACATCAAACTCAGTTCTCTTCTGACTTTAGGTCAATCATTCAGTGAATGTGTCAAGTACTGTGCCACGCATGGGGCAAAAGACAGCCCCTGTCAAGGAGCTCATGACCAAACACGCAAATGACTGGGTACAAATAAGCTATATGGAGGAAAAACTGGAAGTAGTCTCCCCGCTGCATCAGGCTGCCGTACGTCAAAGATCCCTATTACACACAAAGGGCTTTTTTTTTCAGTACATTAGTACATTAAGAAAGTGCCTTTGACTAAATTCTTCTGTTAAGAAAGAGTAAAAAAAAATGAGACTTTTCAATCATTAGGTGCCCTCATTAAGGAAAAAAAATGCTCTCACATCACCTTCGTGTGTGTGTGTGTGTGTGTGTGTGTGTGTGTGTGAAAAAGCCCTCTTAATTAAAAGGATACTGTTGTTCTATTCTTGTTTTTAAAAGAAAATTTTTCAAGGTCAGCCTCCTTTATGACCTGTTGGGGCGGCCTGAATATTTTATAACACTCACACAAAGACTTTTTTTAGCAAACATATTTTAGGGGCAGACAGATAGTGCAGTGGATAGAGCACCAGCCCTGAAGTCAGGAGGACCTGAGTTCAAATGCGGCCTCAGACATATAATACTCGCTAGCTGTGTGACTCTGGGCAAGTCGCTTAACCCCAATTGCTTCCCCCCCCCCCAAAAAGAAAAAAGCAAAGCAAACATATTTTAGGGTCTTGCTATCCCCGTGATCCATAATCCCACACTGCCTGATGCTGTCGCTTAACTCTGGGTTGTGTTTGTCTCTCCAAGCTCCTTGATGGCAGAGACTCTGTCTTCTGCTTCATCTTTGTATTCCCCGATCAGCACAAGGAGCCTGGGGCCTGGCAGAGGCCAGACAAACACTTGTTAAGTGGATGCCTTGGAAGCATCTCCCTCCCCTCCACCGAGACTCCCCATCTGTTGTGAAATCTGAATCTGAAATGGAGAGCCTGTATTGTAAATGAAAAAGATATGTGAAAACAATGATCAGTGACCCCACATCAAATACAAGGGGTCCCAAAAGTTTAATAAGTTTAAAACTGCACTAACTGAGATTGGTAACTTAATAATCCTCATGTACATATTGTCTTACATTAAAGAAGAACTGGATACCTGTGGGTTATTATTACCCTCTTTATCCTGTAATCCCTGGGATTTCTTCCACTATGTCTCTTTAGGCTGTAGGGTTGCAAGGAATAATAAATAAGATCAAGTAAAAATTAATTTAAAATAAACTTTATTACCAGACATCTTTCCCCCTTCTTCCCTCCCCTCCCCCACTGCAAATGGCTTTATCATTTTTTTGCAGTTAGAACAATTCCCATACTCTGCTTCTGTCTGGACTTTGACTATTTTTAAAAATTCATATTTTAAAAAGTTATAGGATCCCACTCAACTCCTTCTGCCCATTGAGGACAGCACAGCTCAAACCCTTTGCTCTCTATTCCAAACCATCTCTTTCTTCTCCCTCACCTCCACATACTTTCTCTCTGAAACTCAGATCACAGTAACAGATTTAGTGAGAAGGGACTGCAGGAGTCATTTCATCCAACACGACCCCCCTATTTTACAAGTGAGGAAACTGAGGCCCAGGGAGGCTAAAGTCAGACAAGTAGCCAAGGGCAAAGGTAAACTTTTAATCCAGGTCTTCTGTCTGGATTGATCTGGATTGATCTTTGATCATCAGTCTTTCTACTTGGACTAGATATCACCAGATTGATAGAAGCTTCATGTAATGTATCTCAGGTCCTCTTCATTTCCAGGTGTCAAATCATCACTCCCTGGCTTGGTTAGTACAATGTAGTAATTTCTTCAACCACATTTTTCCTTTTACTCTCATTAGATCGCTTCATTTGTATTTCCTTTGTTCATCGGATCCTAGATTTAGAACTTGATAGAAGTCTTTCTACTCTCTTCCCCACTCTCCTTCCTCTCTATTGTATAGGGAGGGAGGCAACAATTATCAGGCACTGTGCTAAGTACTTTACAGATATTATCTATTTGATTCATACAACAGCTCCGGGAAGCCAGTGATATTATCTCCCATTTTGGTTGAAGAAACTGAGGCAGGCAGAAGTTAAGTGACTTGCCCTGTGCTAAGAAATGTCTGAGGCCAGGTTTGAACTCAGGACTTCCCGATTCCAGGCCCAGTGCTCCATTCACTGTGCCACCTAGCCACCTCTGTCTATAGATGAGGAAACTGAGAAGCAGAGAGGTGTGATTTGTCCAAAATCACATGAGTAATAAGTAGCAGACAGGATTTGAACCCAAATCTAGTACTATTCCCACTGCATCATGCTGTTTTCCATTTTTCCTCCCTTTTTCCTTTCTTGTAAAGTCTACCTGGCCTCTTTCTTACCTACATTCCCTTTTCCTTTTCTTCTGAATACTCATATTTCTGTTTTGACCCTTCACAAGTCTCCTACAATAGCTCTAAGAGCCTTTTTTTGCTGCCTCTGCCAAGAGCTCCTGAGAGCCCTACTTCTATACTACCTTCTCTGCTCCGTGTAATCCCCACTGCCCTTTTAACTAAATCACATTTTGACAGGCTAGTGAGTGCAACCTTTTGTCTCTGGAATTCTGTTTTAGTTGCATTCTGACTGCCTTCTGAGTTTGGAAAATCAGTGGGCATGAAAGATCTCCCTTTTGTACTTGTTACTAGATATTAAATGAGAGAGGAGAGGACAGACTTCCCTTTGCAGAAGTGGAGGCCTAAGGGTGTGTAACATTGCATATACTGTCAGACTCAGTTGAAGTTTTGATTAGTTTTGCTGAACAGCTTTTTTTTCTCATTTCTAGTCTTTCCTAGAAAGCATACCACATTTACAACCCCTGTGTTGGGAAGAGAAGAGAAATGAAGATGATATAAAAACAAAAGATCTCTCTCTCTCTCTGTATATACACACACACATACATGTATATGTATATACATATACATACACACACACACACACACACATTTAGGGATAAGAAGTTGACAAGAGATAACTTCTCAAACAAACTTTCTCTAACAGATAACTTAAGTCCCAAAAGTAATTTAGGGGAAACTTTTCTGGTAAACATTCAAAACTTTTGCTCTCATTCCTCCCGGGCTCCATGTTTGTTGACCACTTCTCAAGGTTAAGTTCTTTCGAGCAGGTACTTTGTACAATAACACAGTCGGACATAGCTAACAGCCTGTTCACTTGTGCCAAAGTACATTTAAGAGTCCCTGATGAATGAATGTCACAGTGGTTGGAGTGAACAGTCAGATGGAATTAAATGTGATCCTGGAGGAGACAGAGATTATTCTGGGCCACTCAGTAGAACATCTGCACCTTTCACCGTGAGATAGGAAGTGGGTGGTGGGCTCGTGACCTGCAGGAGAGACCCTCACATGCTGCCTCTGGGGGCCTCATTTCACACCCATTTTCCTCCAAGGCATTGATCATTTCTGACTTCAGCCCAGGGCCGCCAGCTACCCAAACAAGTCTTTCTGGCTCAGGCTGGAGAGGTGGTGATTTCTTTACTGGCCTGAAGAGAATTGCTCCCCTTTCCTTTGCCAGATGGCAGTGTGTATGGTGCTGATCTCAGTCCCCTTACTGGTACTGCCCTCTGCCAGGTTCTCTGTTACCTCTCTTTGATGCAGCTGCCTTGGCTGCTCTTGGGGACTATGGAGGGGACAGGGAAGGACAGGGCCAGGATCTTACAGAGTTGGACCTTCCTACCCAAATCAGCCATTCAGTTTGATAACTGGGGGGGAAAAACATGCTTCATGCTCTCCTAATACTTAAGTAGATGTGATCATAGTTTAGGTTAGGGCTAAGGAAAAGGTAGTATGGAATAGTGCAAAGAACACTCAGAGATGCTGAGTGTGAATCCCACACTGCCACTTACTACCTGCTTATGTGACTGAGGGGCAAGTCAGTTTTCTCTCTGAACCTCAGTTTTCTCTTCTGTCAAATGAAGGTTATATAAATAGGGACTAGACCCGAGACTTTATTGGTAGAGAGAACCCCCAGGTGAGGAAGCTCCCTCTACCAGGGCAGGTTGGTACCTTGTCTACAACTACTGAGGGCTGCCTAGAGCACTGAGGGTTTCAGTGATTTGTCCAATATGTCAGAGGTGGTGCCTGAACCCAGGTCTTCCTGTTTCTGAGGACACAGAGGCGCAGAGGTGGGTACCCATTGTCTTTTCCCCATAAATACTTTCTAAATTTATCATCTTTGGCCAAAGTAGAGGTCTTGAATTCAAATTCTGACTGATATTTACTCCCGAATGACCTTGGGTGAGTTACTGACCCTTTTTGGGTTTCAGTTTCCTCCTCTGCCAAATAAGGGTGTTGGATCTCTACGGGCCCTTCTGACTCTAAGCCTTAGGACTGATCGTCCGATGCTACTGAGTACATTATAAGCACTTGGGAGATATCTGTTGATCCATTGTGAGCCTGTCTGCTAACCTTTCTTTTCTTATTTCCACCTAGCAGGTTTGCCTTCTTCAGGAGCACCTTGAATCAGTCCAGAAGGAATTCATTATTTTCAACAGAGAAAAGTAAGTCACTCCTAGAAAAGGCATGGCCTAGTAAATTTGATAAATGTCTCAGCCAGAACTCCTCGCAGAACGAGTATTTCTAAATTTACCAGCTGGAGTGAAGAAGTAGGGCTTTAAGGAAGATTAATACTTCTGCCGTCTGCCACTCACTGGTGAAGAAAGCACAGGCATTACTGATTGATCCTTAAATCAGTAACGTTGGTTTGTTTGGTTTTTCACTCATACATTTCCTTCCTTTCAAGGCTTAAACCTTTTCTTCTTTTCATCTGAAGGGTAAGAAGGGAACACAATGAGAAGCTGGCACACGCCAAAGACCCAGAAGATGGTCAGAACAACAACCTGTGAGATCTTCTCCATCCTCTTCCCACAGCGTTAATGACTGCTCTGCACGTGGGCACTGTGCCATGTGCTTCTGAGTCCTCCATTTAGAATGCTCACACAGTAGTTCTCGCCTCCCCCCACCGGCACTTACAGATGCCCACTGCACGCTATGGTGGAGCACTAGACCAGAAGCCAGGAGACCGGGGATCTAGTCCCAGTTCTGCCACTTATCAACTCTGTGTGACCTTGGGCGAGTCACCCCCTCCCTGAGGCTCCGTTTCCCTCATCTATACAATGAGATAATCTGATACAGATCCCTGTTAGCTCTAATAGTCCATGATTATAAAAAGTGTTGGAGGTTCATGCTTTAGTGTAGTACAAAGAATGTAGGACTTAGACTAAGAAAGATCTGGGTTCAAATCCCAGCACTGACACACTGTGGCCACTGGCAAACAGCTTTACCTTTCTGAGCCTCGGTGGATAATGGGGATAGTAATATTTACACTACCTATACAAGACCTACCTCACAGGGTTGTTGTGAGGAAAACACTGTATAGTTGTGAGTTCTTATTATATTTAACCCCTTTTCTCCTCCTTGTCACACTGTGGAAAATGTAAGGATTGGGGTGAGGCCTTTCCATCCTCGAAAACTAACAAAAGGGGGTCGGAATGCCTTAGCCCATCTGAGTATGAAGTAGAGGATTCTGTCAAGAAAAAAAAAAAAGAATGGGACTTAACCATAAGGATTTATGTGAAAGAGAACCCCCAAAACAGGGGCCTTCTCACAGTAGCATGGCCCTTCAGCACTAACCATCTCATTTAACTAGGAACTGCTTTTATCTGGCTAAATCCCAGGAAACACCAGAAAAGAATACTGTCAGATGTAAAACACACCCGCCATTTTGTGGTGACATATGGGGGACCAGCATCAATGCGTAGAGAAGTTTGATCTGACGTCTAGCAGGATGTCCTTCAGTGTGAGAGATGAGCTAACCAAGAAACACTGATGATGTCTCTTTCTTGCCAATTCTAGGGCAAGTTGGTGACTGATCGAGGAAGCAGCCTCCTAGGAATGAGGGCTTGTGAGAAAGCCAGAGATGGGAATGGGGCGAGAAAGAGATGGAAAGTGAGAGTGCTAACTGGCTATACTCCCCTAGAGGGTGCAGGCATGAAGTGGGGAGTCAACATCTGCTCGTGTTTACAGCTTTCAATGTACTGAACTAAGAGACCTTAAGCTCCAGCAGTGCTAGGAAGAAGAGTCTCTTTCCTTGCCATTAAAAAAAAAGGGAGGTTTTGTTTTCTTTGCAAGGAAGTAGCACAAATATCTTTTTAAATGTTTGTAAAAACAACCACCAAACAAAACACTGTCCACCTCCACCTCTTGTGTTCCCCTCCACCTAAATCACTCCGGCTCTCGTTGACTGGCCAACAACAGGTCCCAGCCCAAGCCTCACCTGGTCACAGTGTGGATTCTCATGGCTCAGTGGCCAGGGAGTGTATTTATTACAGGAGTGCAAATAGCCATTGTTTCTGTTTTGGCCAGAAACCCCGAGGGTCTTCCCCTCCCAGACTGATTTTTTTTTCTTTGAGTAGGTAAAAGAGGCCATTCTTTGCCCTGATCACTGAGTGGGCATTGCCTCAGTCAAACTGAGACCTGGGAAAGACCTTAGCTTAAAAGGGCCAAGGTTTCCCACTGCATCTGGGCCATCTCCAGTCGTCCTGATTTACGTCTTGCCACTGGAACCAGATGGCTCCAGAGGAGAGAGTGAGGCTGGTGACTTTGCACAGTCCTCCCTCACTTAAATCCAATTCACTTGCAAGTCCTGGCATCGCCTTCCTGAATTCCTGATGTCATGGTCCTCTTCGAGAAAGGACAAATAACAACAACAAACCTTCCAACTACAAAGTATGTCAAGTGAGGTAATGTGTATAAAACACTCTGTGAATAGGATCTCTTATTCAGGGAGCTCTCTCCAAACACCAGCCCTTGTCCTAACACAGTCTGATCTGCTAGGGACTGGAATAAAGTCATCTGCAATGAGAAAGAGACCAGACTCTCTTTCCAAAGAGGAAAGGCCAAGAGTTTCCATGGCCATTTGCAATTCAAGCCAAACTATGTGTTTTGGTTGTTCTGACTTGAGCCCCAAAGGTCATAGACTTTTTCTTCCCTGTCACACATTTCTTCTTGGTTAAACAGTCCTGTTGAAAGAACTTCCTAAGGGATGTTTCGGGAACAAACATCTTACCAAAGGGAAGGAAGGCAAGCCATTTGGCTCATCTTCCACTGACATGTCTAGTTCATTCATCTAGAATGTCTGATCTAGGAGAGGAACCTTGTAAAACATCCATAATTCATATTTCTAGTTAACTAGTGTTTCTGTCTAATACTAAGCTACCTATGGGCCTAGAATAGTGCTCTTGATTTTGAGGATTTAGATTCACTAGCTGGACACTGATAGACCTGGATGAGGCAAAAAGGTCCTCCCTGGAGCCTTAATGGCCTGCTTAGACAGTTGTTTGCCAAAAGGAAAGCAGAAGCTTTGTCTGTGTTGGTATCCTCTCCAGAAAACTGGAGTAAGAAAGTGTTCTAAGGACCTTTCTCACTGCTGAGCTGGCGCAATTCCAGGCTTTTACCTTTTCCAGAATAGTTTCTTGAATAGCTGTTGGCAACACTGAAGCCCTTCTGTTCTATTCTGTGAGTCAGGGGCTAAAACCAACACCTTCCTAGGGCTGAGGTAAATATACCCACAACTACTTACATTCCATTAGAATGTAAGCTCCCTGAGGTTAAAGGATGTTTATTTTTTTTTTCTGTATCCCCAGTGATAGTTCTGGTGACTAGCACATAAGAGGTTCTTGAATTGGCTTGAATTGCATGACCCTAGGTTTTCCAGGGCCCATTATTTCCTGGTTCATGACTCCTTAAACTTGAATCTGAGAGCTCCAGCTTGGAAAAGAAGGGAATCATGGCAGCCATTTGTGACATATGTTCCTGAGAATTTTATTAGTGTTATCCTATCATCTCCACCCATCACTGTAGAAAAATGTCTTTATAGACTCACTATGTTGAAAAGATCGGAAGCATTTTTTCTTAATAGCACTGTTTCCCTGGACTTTCTGTCTAGCGAATGCATGTTAACTTAGGCAGCATGGATACAGTAGAAGGGGCACCTTACTGACAATAGTTTGGGATCATGGGATATAAAACCCAGGCCAATGCTTTAAAATGCTCAGGGAGCCCCAGCTAAGACCAGAGATTTTGGCTGGAACCGAAAGCAAAGGGTAATGGAGATAATGTTGGGTTTGGAATCAGAAGACGGGTTTGAGTCCTGGCTCTATCATTTATCAGCTGCATCACCTCCAAAAGACAAATCACTTCGCCTCTTTATTTATTCATCTCTAAAACAATGGGGTTAGAGTAGGTGATTCTGAAGCCCATTTCACTTCTAACATTCCATGATCACCTTGATGAAGTAGGCAATATGATTATTACCATCCTCATTTTATAGATGGCGAAACTGTATCTCAGAGAAGTCAAACAGTCACATAGCTGGTAAGTATCCAGGGTGGAATTCAGCCTGTTTCCCTGATTCCAAGTATAACATTCTTTCCTCTACATCAAGAGAAGACTAAGATTCATTTTACTAGAGTAGTCAAGTAGCCTCTCATGGGAGAACTGTCAATCACAGTTGTATGAAGTGACCGCTATGACTCATCACTGTAGATTCCTTTAATCATTTGGCAGATTAAAAAGGAAGCAGGGCAGAGATGTTCCAGAGGATTCTCCCAGCAGATAATCTTTGGCTGTGCTCTAGCATTCACGTGATAAGGTAGGGTGAACTGTGGAAGCTGAAGGGAAGAGAGTGAGGGGCTGAGTATCTCTGTTGTCCATCACCAAGATGTCAGAACACCATATAACTTTGTTTTCTAATAGCCATCTGCCAGGCTCACTTGTTCTAAGTAAAGTATTTGTCTGTCTGTCTGTCTGCCACTAAAGAAATTAAAAAGTCAAATGTCTTACCCTCTGCTGTGTTGTATACGTGTGTCTAACTTCTTCCTGAGTTCTCTTAGTGTCGGCCTAGAGACGAAGCACCTCTGGGGAGCTGCAGTAACATAACCTTGAACCGAAAGCAGCGTCCTGGTGCAGTGGGAAGGGCACTGGAGGACCTGACATTCAATCTTGGCTCTGCCACTTAACTAACTATGGCTTTAGGCAAGGTGTTACTACATCTCCCTGGGACTCAGTTTCCTTATTTGTAAAATAGAAGGGTTAGACTAGATGACTTCTGAGGTCCTTCCCAGCTCTAATCTATGACCGTAAGTAACAAGAACAGGTGGGGAAACTGAGCAGCCACAGTGTCCAGAATGAATAGAAACAGAGATGTCACATACTGCCTTGAACAGTGGTAACTAACACCGCCCCCCCCACCTTCTGCTTCTGGAGAGAATATATTATGCAGGTGTAAGTGCATCCATTTATTTATCGAGCATCCACATACAAGGCACGTACCTCTGTGGCGCAGGAGGCAATGTGCTAAGCTGAAAAGTAGAAGGCAATCCCTGCTCTCAAGGCAGAAGATGCAAACAAACTGGAGATAATCAACAGAGGGAAGGCACTAGCATTAAGAGAGATCAGGAAAGGCTTCCTTTCTTACCCAGACCCCTTCATGACCAGTGTACTGCAATTTCAAGAAGTCTGGCTGGCATTAGGAATGTATCCCTGGTCAGATTGCAGCTGGAGTACTGGGTTATGTTTGGGAAGGACATTAATTAGCTAGAGTAATGACTAGGATCAGAGGAGCCTCAAGTCCATCCCAAATGAGGATCAAAAAAGGAAGTAATTTACTTCCTTTGCTTATACTGGAGAAGACTGCAGGTGGGAGGTTGGGGGAATGACACATGACAGTTGTCTTCAAGCACCCGTAGAGGGCTATAAGGTGGTAGAAGGATGCTGGGATAGCTTAGTTGGTAAAGCCTTAGACTTTTAATCTGCGGGTCCAGGGTTCAAGTCCCTCTCCACTGGGTAACTAGGTGGGACAATGGATAGAGTGCTGGGGCTAGAGTCAGGAAGACTCTTCAGTTCAAATCTGGCCTTAGACTAGCTGCATGACTCTGGGCAAGTCATATAACCTGGTTTGCCTCTGTTTCCTCATCTGTAAAATAAGCTGGAGAAGGAAATGGCAAACCACTCCAGTATCTGCCAAGAAATCCCAAATGGTGTCACAAAGAGTTGGACATGATTGAACAACAGTGACCAAGATCAGAAGAGCCTCCAGTCCATCCACTTGAAGATCAATAACTGGGGACATTATGCTGGACAAGAGAAGACCTGCGGTGGGGTGGGCTGTGGAGGACCTAAAGAGGGCTAACTTGGGGCAGAAGGATTCACCTCATTCTGCTTCTCCCCAGAAGGCAGAACTAGGGGCACAGATGTTAGGAAAATCTTCATAACAATTAGGACATACAGTGGAATGGACAGGGGTGGGGGGCTCTCATTTCAAAGTCCCCAGACTGGCTAGATGGTCTCTTGTCTGGTGTGATTAACCAAGGTCATATATTCAAAGTGTTCTGCAAGCCTTATAAATGTGCCATATAAATGTCAACTAACACTGTAAATAATGACTAACATTATGATGTAGTGGGAACTTGAGCAGGTTTAACTTCAGGGTCACTGAAGTCTCTCCCAATTTGGAAAAACTGTGATTTGTGTCCTGTGTACTTTTAATGATAATTAATAATTAGAAATTACTTTTACTACTAATTTAATAATAAACTCCATGTGGAGATCTAGTCCACAGCTGACCTCCGGTACTGTGCCCTAACCAGTTGGGCTCATCAGCCATGCTTTAAGCCACAGAAGTCTGGGAAAGCCCAGATTCTGCTTCCTTGCCTTACACTCAAAATCTCATGTACATGAGCAGCCTTGCTGTGTGGCCTTGGACACGTCTGACTTCTCTGGGCCTCAATTTTCTTATCTATAAGATGACGGACTTGGCCTAATTCAATCAATCGTTTAATAAACATTTATTAATTGTGTACTGCGTGTCAGGCACTGTGCTAAGCACTGGGGATACAAAAAGAGGCAAAAGACCAGTGTCTGCTCTCAAGGAGATTACAATCTGACAGGGGAGACAACATGCAAACAAATGTATGCAAAGCAAGGTACAGACAGGATAAACAGGAGATAAAATGAACGGGGAAGGCACTGGAATTAAGAAGGGGTGGGGAAGGCTTCTTGTAGGTGGGATTTTAGTTGAGACTTAAAGGAAGCCAGGGAGGTCAGTAGTGAGAGCGGAAGAGGGAGAGCATTCCAGGCACGGGGGACAGCCAGAGAAATGAGCACTCATTCCTATGGCATCTTAGAAGGCTTACAAAATGCTTTCCCCACAATAGTCTTCTGAGGTAGTGGTATGATTGCTACCATCCCTATTTAACAGATGAAGGAACTGAGGCTCAGAGTTGAAGGGGCATGCCCAGGTCTCCCATCTCCCACTGTCTGCTGCAGCTTTGCCAATCACCAGTTTTATAGCTCCCACACCCACTCCTCAATATCTCTGTCCTAATCCATCCTGGTCACAAAAGTAGATTGACATTCCAAGTGCCCAGCACAAACAGGATCTGTGGCTGAGAAGACCGCATTCACTCTGTTTCCTAGTCACTAAAGCCTCCTTCTGCCTGCAGAGCGAATAAATGTATCTTTCAGTCCAGACAGTGCCTCTTCTTAGGCCCAACAATACCTCGGCGGCAGGCCGGCGGGTTGGCTGTTGCCCTGAACTCTTCCTTAATAACTTGATTTGTTTGGCAGGCCAGCCTGGCTCCCCCAGGCCTGCATGCTAAGTACTCCCACAATCCCAGTTAACCCTCTGCCTGCCAACATGTTCTCAGCAGCCATCAAACAAAGTGACAGAAGATCTATTTGGAACTTTGGATCTTGACTAGAAGAGACAGGTTCTGCAGGATTCACTCTGATGGTCCTCTCATCTCTTACCTCTGTCAATTACCTTCACAATACCGGCTCTTCCCAACGACCGGCCCTACTGATCAATGCATCAATCAACATGCATTGATTAAATGCCTACTATGTGCCAGGCACCATGCTAAGTGCTGAGGGATACAAAAAAAGGCAAAAACAGTCCCTGCTTTCAAGGAGCTCAGTCTAATGGGAAGACAACCTGTGAACAAGATATATACAGGATAAACTAGAGATAATCTCAGGGAAGTCAGCATTCAAGGGCATTGGGAAAAGCTCCTGCAGAAGATGGGATTTTAACCAGGACTTGAAAGAAGCCAGGAGGCAGAGCATTCCAGTCTTAGGGAACATCTGGTGAAAATGGGGATGGGGGTGTTTTGTGCTAAGAACAGCAAGGAAGTCAGTTTTACTGGCTCATGGAGTAAGGCTTAAGAAGACTGTCAAGGCAGGCTGGGCTTCACAGGTCGTGAAGGGCTTCGAAAGCCAAACAGGTGATTATATATTTGACCCTGGAGATGTCAGGGAACCACTGCAGTTTACCGAGCAGGGAGGCAACCTGATAAGGCATGGGCTTTAGGAAAATCAGTTTGGCAGCTGAGTGAAGATTGAACTGGAGTGGGGAGAGGCTTGGGGCAGGGATTCTGATATTCACTCTGACGTAGAGAACTGACAACTACAGCTTTCTAAGAATGGGCCAGTGCCATAGGAGGGCATATGTCACTCACTCATTATTAAAGCACTTTAAGCAAAGACTGAAATTGTCTGGGATTTTCTTAAGTGGACTCCTACTCAGACATCAGACTGGATGTTCCCTGAGCTCCCACCCAGCTCTGCAATCTTAAGATTCTTGGTGAAGATCAATGTCCATACCACCCTCACCCAAATAGGAGCGTTTTTGTAGCTCTCTTGCATTGGGAGATAAAAGCAACTATTTGAACAGAGAACGGATGGAACATAGAATGCATGAAGGGGTTAAAGGTAGTACAAAATAGAAAGGTAGCCTGGGGTCAGATTATTAAGGATGTTAAATGTAGAGGCCAATGGACTATGGGTTTTAAATGTTGTATATGCGATCTAATGCAATGTGGCTGGTTTTGCTCAACTCATTAAAAAAAAAAAACTGTTGTAAGCTCACCAGGCTTAAATGCCAAGCTCAGGTTCTACTTATCCTAGTGGCAACAGGGAGCTACAGACACTTCTTAAGCAGTGTGTCACATGATCAAATGTGCTTTAGGGTGATTATTTGGACAGCCCTGTGCAAGACGGATGAGAGATGGCAGAGATGGAAATTCTAGATGTCCAGTCACGAGAAGAAACAGAACATAATGGCTACTGCTGTAGTTGGAGTCAGGCACTGGCCCCTATTCAAATCCTACTGCAAACATATTTGTTGTTCATCCTTCATTCCTGAAGAGAACCCATCACACCTCAAATATGATGTCTTGACTTTTGAGTGAATGGGCTTTGAATGAGGCAAAGCAAAGTCCTCAGCCTTATTCTCTCCTCCAGTCATTAGAGTCCAGGAAGACAATGGTCAACGTGCCTGGTGATGGCCTCAGGATGCAGTGGGTGACCTGGTCTTTCCCCATCTCAGTCTGCTGAGGCCATGCTCATTCAATGACTAAGGGCTAAGTAAAAAACGAGACAAAAGATGGCCCAATTTACCACCAAAGGTTATCGATCTGGGAAGGGAAGACCCCCAGAGTTTCTGGCCAGAACAGAAAATAATTGCTCTTTACAATCATTCTAAGCCATCAATACTTGAACAATGAGCCATGGAGGCTGGGCTGGGCTTATTATTGGCCAATGAAAGCCAGAATGATTTGTGTTTAAAGGCACAGCCAAGTGGCTCCATTTGAAACACAATGGGCTTTTTAAAAAGCCTGTTCTTATAAGCTACGTTTCAAGAATCAAAAACGAGTGGAAACTGATCAGGACAAAAGAAAATTGTCCCAGCTTTTGGAAGAAAAAAATGGAGAAGGGGAAAGAAAGAGAAGGGAGGAGGAGGTTGTGGTGATTTGGGCCCCCAGAGGGCAGCTGCTGCTACTCCTCTGATAACAAGGTAAAGACAATTAACACAAACCCTTCTCCCAAACCCCGGTTGGCTCCTTCCCACAACTACACACAGCACCCGTGGGAGGAGTAGCCTTAACAGTAATGAGGCACACATGTAAGAAATGTAACAAGGTTTAATTTACATCACCTGCTCTGGAAGTCCTCTCTCTGTGTGATCTCATGCAAAACCCATATTGTGGTCCTTGATCCTTGGAGAGGACCAATGACATCTTGAGCATGGTATCTTGACTTGTGTGTGAACTGCATTTGAGTGAAACAGCTGTGCAAAGTCCTAACACATTTACTATCTGTACTGTACAGCCAAGTCATTTCATTTCTCTGATCCTGACTGTCCTTATGAAGAGGCACTATTATCCTATGGTGTCTAGCACACTAAACTCGAAGTCAGGAAGACCTGGCTTCAAACTCTACCTTTGGCATTTATGAGCTTTATGACCTTTGGCGAATTACTCAATCTCCCTTGCTCACTAAGGCACTGGGACCACTTCCACCTCCCATCACACATAGTCATCACAACTGGGGGAAAGATTTTTCTAGCAAGGCTTGAAAAGCGGGGGAAAGGGTTTTCAGGGTCATCTTCAAATAATCAGAAAAATTCAGAAGAATTCCCATTTCTGGAGCATCCCAGTTATTCAAGGTCTTCATGTTTGCGGGGAAATGATGTGCGGTACAGTGGAAAGGCTCAGAGGCTTTGGCATCAGAGGAGCTGGTTCATATCCCTGCCTGTCTGTTCATGACATGGGACTTTGGTCAAATTACTTAAACCTCTCTGAGGCTCTGGTTCTTCATTTGTAAAACAAAGGGGCTGGACCTCATGGCCTCAAAGTTCTGTTCCAGTTCTAGCTGTGATCCTAAGAGGCTTAATGGCTCAAGGGACTTTCTGTTACACACACACACACACACACACACACACACACACACACACAAAGAAGGAGGCTGGACACCACAGGGAATGTTGTTTTACAATTATTTTAATAACCAGGTTTACAGTAACAGTCACTTGGATGAACTTTTCTTCAGCTAAACTCAAAATACTGTTTTCTTTACGGTTCAAACCAAACAGCTCTTCCACACGGGAGCTGCTTCACAGCAACCACAGACCACAGGAAGGTTCACTTGTCCTTTCTTTCATATTCACCAGATACAAGAAAACTTGACACCCACAAACCATACGTCAATAGAAGAAGTTTAAGGGGAAAATTTAAGGGAAATATACAATAAATGTTGGCTGCCCACAACAGCCAGTGAGCATATCTGGGAATCCAGCTTGGGTCTTCCCATGGAGAAAGCTTAGACAACCCTTGGCAGTATATGGAAGTTGGAAACTCAACCTGCCAGGCGTGTTATTTCTGGCCTAGGACAGCCCAGCCTCACAGTAAGATCCAAGAAAAGGTATCTGTGAGGTAGAAAGATGGAGAGAGCATCCATTTGCTCAAGTACACCATCGCCATCTTCTTACTTAAACTGAATCTTTAAATTGAATCAGTGGGAAAGGTAACAATTCCATTAGCACCTGCTCCTGCCCACCACTCCAGGAAAAGCTAACTGGATATCTAGGACCAGAGGGAAGTAGAACAACAATGAGAGAAGGAATGTTCCAGAAGTCACAGGATCAGAGATCACAGGGCTCCGGGTAAGGGCGGGATGGTGGCTGGCAAACTGAGGCCGAAGAAGGCCATCTGAGAGCCCTGCCTCAAGGAGAAGGCTTGAAGACCTGGAGAGAGAGGACTGTAGAATCGTCATAATGAAAACTCTGGCAAAACCGCCTTCAGAGACCAGAGCTCTAATCTCTACAGTTCACGCTGTGAGTCATTTCCTTCTCCTTTTTACTGACCACCTGAAGGAGAGGCCTGATGAATTTTTTGGACAGTAGGGCATTAGTTGATGTCATTTCTTTCCTGCTACTGTTCAAGAAGAAACCCAACCATTTAAAAATAAGACAGAAGACTCTGAAACCCAAGCAATCGATTCCGTGGAAGCTAAACTCAGCAAGATGCTGATTTATTTTTCACCTAGAATTACTGGGTTTGGCAAGATGTTATCCAAGCGAACAAAGATGAGATCATCCTTTGAATCTTTTGGTCTGCAACCCCCCCCCCCCATGCCCTGGATAATCTTTACAGCTCTTCGGCTTAATCTGCCTGTGCAAACTGAAAGGTTCTGACCAATTCCTTCACGTCAGAATCTCTCAGTAACGAGGGAGAGCACAGCTGAGGTGGATGGGCGACCGTGAGAAAAGAAAGATGATATGGAGGGCCTTCTTGGGCCATAAATGGCTTGGCTCCCTCAAGTACAGGCAGAAAGGCTGCAGATTTTCATTTCTGTAATGTTAGCGCTATCTTGTGGCCATGGCTTGGGATTACAATGAAATCTTAAAGAACCAGCAAGGTATTTATTTATTTATTCTCCGCACACTCAGGCTAAGTACAATAGGCCAGAGGTCTACATTGGGAACCAGTAACCCCAACTGACATTAAGCCTAATTCCACCCCTTCCCCCACCCATGGATGAAACAAATCTAAAATGCTACGTCCTCTTAGCCTTAACATCTAAAACTGATTCAAAACAGAGGAAAAGAAGGAAAGATATATGCCAAATAACCATCCAAGGCAATAGTCACTAAATGGTTGGCCCTTAGAGACAAAAATGGCCTCACTGGGATGGTGCCTTTCCAGGGTTGGTGCACAGATTTCATTTTATTCCTCTCTTAGGGAAATGGGTTCTCTCAACACCAGGGTTTCTCAGTCTTCATTCCAAAATATGATTTTTTCAAAGCCCTTGTAAAATTTAAGAGATGAGGATATCAACATTAAATTATTTTAAAAGCAATTTCAATTCATTAAAATCCTCCCTAGTCATTTTCAGTCTGTTCTGTTCTCTTTTTCATTTCTGGCCTGATTCACAACACAGACCAACCGCAGGGATATTTGGTTGGATGGTTCTGCTATTTCTTTAGGAAAAAGAGGGCCAGGGACACTGGGCAAGAAAGGAAAAATGGAAATGCACCACCCTCCTCAGTCCCCAGAGGAACAAGATGGAGTATTGAGAAGACCCTAAAAAGCATTGGGAGCCCTCTTCTCTGTTCACTTGGGATTTGTCTACTCAACTCATCTCCCTCCTCAGGTCAGAAACCTGAAAATAAAAACCATCTTATGAGTATAAATCCTTCAGAATGTCCTGGTTTGGGAAAACTATGCCCATGCTCTCTGTTCCTGCTCAAAGGTACTCGAGAAAGCCTGTGCGTGCAATACACAATGCAAGAAAATGACCAGCAGTGGACAATCAATGCTTGAACTCAGAAGACAAAAGCAGGTGTATGCAAGATCTCACTTCTCTAACTCGACCTTTAGCAAACTCTTGCCCTGTGACCACAGGCTTAAGCACTGGAAGGGATCTTAAAAGATCATCCAACTCCTACATTTTGCTAAGGTGGAAAATAAAGCCACCCTTTCCTGACCTTTACAAGAACTCATAAACACAGCAGGTTTATTTCTTAATGAAGGATAAAATGGATCAGTTACAAATGAAAAAGAAAATGTCAATGGAAAAAGTCTTCTCTGACTTCCTGCCTTCTCCCACACCCATCCCCAGATCCACAGGAGATGAGGTTCCTTACCGCTAATTAAAATTTCAAGGGATTCTTAGGAAAATGCCTGCCAAAAACACACCAAAAAAAAAAAAAAAAGACCTTCCATCCAATCTGAAGCTGTATGAGCACCAGGAAACTAAGAAAATCAACTGCCCAGACCTGCCTGGCTTGGCGTCCCCCGGGAGGCTTGATGGAACCTATTTTTGGCCACATCCAACATTAACTGATTTTATACACTAAAATGTCCTTAGGATTCTCTCTCTTCATCAACATGCATTTGTGATCCATCCTCTAGCAGGCAGCTAAAGAGTAACCCGCTAAAGAGTAACTCTTTGTAAGGTGTCACTGCCATCTTGAGGATCTTTGCCCCGCCTCCCTGGGTCACCTATCACCAGTCACCTGGCAGAAAATACAGGGCTGAGGACACCAGCAGGAAGGGAGAAAACGGAAGCACCTTCTTCTCCTCAGGCCAGAGAAGAACGAGCTGGAGAGGCGAAGAGGCCTTGAAAATAACCGAGCAAAAGACCGAAGAACGGGGGACAACCAAGCAGGAGGAAAGAAGTGATTGCCTTTCATTTTTTAATAAAATGTACAAAGTAACACAAACCAGATGAAGAGGAAACGTAACAAAGGCTACGTGACAGAAACTGCTTGCCTTCTCTGGAGGCCCCGTGGTACCGTGATGTGATGAGGTGATGACGACGGTGGCCATGCCCCACGGGCTTCATTGGAAACAGAAGTACTCGACACAATACACAACACCCCCTTTTCCTTCCCCTGGCCCACCCACCTCCCGCACTCAGCCCACCCGCTGCCCCTCTGCCAGGGCTCCCACCACCCTTCCACCCCAAGCGGCCTGTTTCCCTTTCGTTCTACCTTTTGGGTTCCCTGTCCTCCCAGCTTTGTCTATCCCCCGTCTTATAACTCAGCGGCACACAAGCACGCAACACATAGGTAGGTTACAGACTCTTAACTTAGTGACTCATCTTACTGCATGCATGTAGAAGAGGAAAAAAAACTCTCAAGGCTATGCAAAAAAACCCAAATCAACAGAAATGAAGCGATACTCTTAAAGCGAGGCAAGCGAGTAGCACTGGGAGAAAAAAAAATAAGGCTTGAAGGCTTATTGATTCTTCAGATTGGAACTGTTTGGATTCACTTTCTTTCTTTCTTAAATACCAATGTACCATTTTGGCTTTGAAAAATCTCTTCTGGTTTCTCATCCTCTTTGGGGCTACTTAACTCAGGGATGTTATATTAGAACGGCCTCCAGGGGGCGCCACGATACGCTTGCTGGCGGAACGGACGCCTTCATCCACCTGAGTACCTGAAGGTGCAAGTAAGAAAATGACACACGAAGATTAATGTCAAGGGCTAAGACACTGAACGGCTTCCCAACCTTCATCAGTCACTTCCCAAAAGCATCCTTCACTTTGTTCCTGTCTCATTGTCTCTCCCGCCATTAACCCATGCTCCATTTCCAAGTTTCTCTTTCTCTTCCTATTTTTCTCTCCCTTTCCTCCAATTCATTTTTTGTGTGGTTTGTTTTGAAGCAACAGGGGTTAAGTAACTTGGCCTGGGTCACACGGCTAATTAAGTGTCTAAGGCCAGATTTTGAACTCAGATCTTCCTGACTCCAGGTCCAATGCTCTATCCACTGCACCACCTAGCTGCCCCTCCAATTCACTTTCTCCTTTTTCCTTTTCCTATTCTGCCCCCTAATTTGGTGAGAATATTTAATTAAGTTTGGTATGGCTTTTATTTACGTAGTGAAAATATTTCTGTACATTAGAAGTATTTGTCATGCTATTGTAATAACTAGCACTTTTAAGGTTTTCAAAGTGCTTTACAAATATCTCATGTACTCTTCACAACAACTCTTTAATTAAAGCACTATTATTATCATCCTCATTTTAGATAAGGATGATGCAATGAAATGACAGATGAGCAAAGTGAGTGACTCACATAGGGATATAGGAAGTGCCTGGGGCTGCATTTGAACTCAGATCTTGATTCTAAGTAGTGTGTCCTCACCTACCGCACCACCTAGCTGCCCCAAACTGAGTAAATCTATTTCCCTGCTGCTCATTTTATAAAGTGGAAGTGTAGTAGAAATCATACGCTGGAAAGAACTCTGGACAGAGGGTCAAAGAAGACTCAGGATGGAGAGCTAGCTTTACTTCTAAACCTGGCTATATGATCTTAAACCATTCATGCTACCCCTTGGAATCTCAGTTCCTGCATTTGTTAAATGTAAAATTTAAAAATAGAAACTGCAAAATTTTAAATTTTAGAAATTTAAAAATTAAATTAAAAATTTTTAATGTAAATTATAAAAGAAGAGGAGTTAGACCAGAGGACTACTGTGTTTTCAGCACTTCTAAAATCCTCTATTTCTGGAAAGAAGAAAGCAACTCCTCCATGGCCAGCATTCCTTGTTGACTTAAGACACTTTCTTCTTGTCCCCAGAAACTTCTCCCTTAAGAACAAAGCAGACACCTTTCTGTTTCTTAAGATAATTATCCAGCCTCAAGGCCTATTACCCAGATTTCCCAGGGTATTTATTGTTATTATTATAGGCTACTGCTGTTGTCCTGTTTGGTTTTTCAATTTTCAGCCTTCTATTTTCCACCCAAATCCAGGCACGGCAGTCCAGCCTTACCTGACAGGCTAAATCCTGACTGATGAAGATTTCTCACTGGGGGGGTCTGGCGAGTGGGCGACCCCCTGGTGGAACCTGCAGGGGTGCCCCCTTTGGGAGTGGTGGTCAAGTCAAACACTGGCCCATCATACATGCCCCTTGGCACAGCGTGCATTTCAGCCATCTGCCACCATGGAAAAGAAAGTGTTATTAATTCAAATCAACAAGCAACTATGAAGTCCTTTCGTGTCAGGCACTGTACAAAAATGAAAGGTGTTTGAACTCAAGTTCACAATCCTCTTAGAGTTGAGAGCAGACCGCAAGTCAGCAAGCCTGGGATTGGTGTCACTGTGTCTGGCCCATTGGCCCCTAGCTTTGGTTCCATCACGGTGGCCACTGCTTTCATCTACTCCCTATGGCCTCACAGGGGCAAAGCAGTGAACTCAGTAGCGTCCCTCCCTGGCAAAGCCAAACACGTGCCAGTACCTAGTCTAAAGGCACACGGGCTCCCAGAGTCACCAAGCATAGATAAGTCCCACAGATATGTTCTCTGCATTAACACTAAGGACACATTATTTTATGATACTGACTCAAGCAAGTGAGCTACAATGGGTCAATATTTTGATCTTCTTTCCCTTTTCTGCTCTAGGGATGTTCTAACCCTAGTGAATAAAGGGATGGCCACCACCCCATTCAATAATCCTTTTTAAAGTGCCTATTGCATGCCAGGTAAGCCTGGGGAGGATATCAAATTAAAAATAAAATAACTCCTGTCCTTAAAAAGCCTACAATCTACAGGACCTTATGTCAGTGCCTAAACTTGCAAACACTAGGATGCAATTTATTTTGGTCACAAGACCATAAGGCTAAGCCCCTTCTTGTAGGGGACATCGCTTAGCCAGAGACACGGTGTCCTAATACTTCACTATTCTTCTCGGTACCCCAGTGAAAACAAAGGCAAGACGTCAGCCCTTGCCCCAAGCCTTTCAATTCCCACTACCGTTGACTTTTACTATATTTGGGTTCAGTCTCCTCCTTACCTTCCTCCGAGCTTTAATGCGCTTATAGACAAAGTCCGAGAAAGGGCTACAGGGGATGAAGCGCCCAGCCCCCTGGGTCACGTGAAGATTGCCATCCTCCAGCATGATCTTGCCCTGGCAAATGACCACCAGGGGCGCTCCCCGCAGCTCCATCCCTTCAAAGATGTTGTATTCTGCAGCCTGTAACACAAGAGAAAATTTCACAAGGGACAGATGAGACGAATAGGATCTTTGTGGACATTGTGAGCTGAGCACACTACCCTGTCCCTGGCATCATAAGGCACTGATACACCATGATAAAAGAGAAAAGGAAAGTCCAGAATGTCCCCAACTTCTTCCAGAGGATGGACTCCTATAGAGCTGTAACTTTCTCTAACAAAGTGAGTGATCTTCATAGCAATAAGACCAACCCAGCCGTAGTTAACAGGGAAACTCAAGAGAACTGAGAAGATGGCTAAAGAATTCCTGACCTCCATGAGTTTAAGTCATCAAGTGTGGAAGAACTATATTCCAGAGAACTAAAAAAAAAAAAAAAACCACACTGATTTCTGGAAAAAAAAACCTGAAGAACACAAAAGGCGTTCAAGAACTGGACAAATGGGAAAATATTCTGATTTTCCAAGAAGGTAGATTCTTCAAAGTGAGGCTATGGAGCTTGATTTTACAAGCTCAGAAGATTTTTCCAGGAAACAAAGGGATGGGTGATTTGTGAGCTTTTGAAAAGGGGAGTAGGGATCACGATGAGCAAACGCAGGTTCATGAAAAAGAAATCATACCAGATTAACCTCGCTCCTTTTTTGATAGAATCACCACATTGATACAACAAGGCAATGCCACAAACATAAGATATATGGAGTTCAACCAAGGCATTTGATAAACTTTCTCGTGATATCCTTGTAGAGAAGATGGAATGGTAGAGAGATTAGTCAGACTCAATGACTAGAAGCAAAGAAGGGTGGCTGATGGGTCCGTGTCCACCTAAAACAAAACTGCTAAGTGAAGGGCCAAAGGGCTCTGTCCTTGGTCTTCCTCTGTCCAACATTTTTATCAGTGACTTGGATGAAAGCATATGTGGCATGCTCATCAAATCAGAGATGACTGATGTATCTGGCCATAAGGCTGGGGAAAAGAGCTAACACAGCAGATGACAAAAGCGGGGTCCAATAAAATCTCAACTGGCTGGCATGAAGAACTGAAGCTCTATAAGATCAAATTTAGGAGGGATAAACAAAATTCTACACCTGGGTTCAAAATGATCAGCAGTACAAGCACAAAATGAGGAGGCTGTGTCTTTGCCATAGTTCATTTAAAAAAGGACTGGAGGCGGGGTAGGGAACGGTTAATAAACTGCAAAGCCAATGAGAGTCAAGAGTCTGGTTTGGCATGTATGCGCACGCACACACACACACATGCAGGAATAAAGGATGAGAAACAACAAATGTACAGAGAAGGGTGCCCATGATAGAGAGGAGACTAGAAACCATGTCATATAAAGATTATTTGGAGGAAGTAGGAATGTTTAGCCTGGAAGGGATGACTAGGGAAATTAGGAGAGCTGTCTTTGAATATTTAAAGGATTCTCAAATGAAAGAATGATTAGGCTTTCTTTTCTTGACCCCAAAAGACAGAATTAAGAGAAATGGGTAGAAGTTTTAGAGGCAGATTTCGTCTCAACCCATGGAAACCCTAACAAGTAGAGATGTCTTCAGAACAGAGTAGTCCACTTTGGCAGGTGGTAAGCTGTCCTCCAGAGGCTGAATAACCACCTCCTGAGAACAGCATAGGAGGGATCCTCTCTGAAATCTGTGTTAAACTAACAAGATGTCCTCTGAGGCTTCTTTCAACTTCTAAGATATTAGGATTTGGAGGCTCAATTTCAGAATTAATTTTCTAACAAATTGTACTGCAGTGGGGATTTGGCTACCTCATTTAGGGAGATAGGGAAATTCAAGTGGCAGGTTGACAATCATCTGGTATAGGTTTCGTAGTAGTGCTTCCTACACTGGAATGAGAAGGTGAACCATATGAGTTTTGTTCGTGTTATTTGGTCATTTCAGTTGTGTCTGACTCTTGCTAACTCCATTTGGGATTTTCTTGGCAAAGATACTGGAGCGGTTTGCTATTTCCTTCTCTAGCTCATTTTACAGAAGAGGAAACTGAGGCAAACAAGGTTAAGTGACTTGACCAGCTAATAAGTGTCTGAAACCATATTTGTACTCAGGAAGATAAATCTTCCTGACGCCAGGCCAGGTGATCTATCCACTGTACCATGTAGCTGCCCCAGACTTATATGAGAGGCAGGACAGTATGGTGGAAATGCGATGAGATTTGGAGTCAGGGGAGATAGGTCCAAATCCTTGCTCTGCCACTTACTGCCTATGTGACCTTGGGCAAGTCTGAACCTTTCTAGGCTTCTCTGTAAAATGATGGGTGGGGCCCAGACTCAATAACCTCTAAGATATCTCCCAGCTCTAACTCTATGAGCCTATAAAAGTCAGAGGTTCCTTCCAATTAAAAGCTGGATTACAAAGGAAGGGCCATTACAGTAGTGTAATGGACTCTAGTTATCATTCTTTATATGTGAAATTTCTTCCACAGCAAGAAAGTTCTCTATACATAAATCTTGGGAAAGTCACTCAAAGTCTCTGAGTCCCATTTTTTCCTGCTCTGAAAAATTAAATGGCCTCTAAGGCCTCCTTCTACCTTTAAACCCTATGACCCCATGACCCCACCACCACCACCACCACCACCACCACCATTCCTTCCCCAGCACAACAAGCCTTACCGACTGATGGTTCTTGGCTGAAACAATCTTCACAGCATCTGGATCCCAAATGACCAGGTCACTGTCAGAACCCACAGATATTCTTCCCTTCCGAGGGTACAAGTTGAAGATCTTGGAGGCATTGGTACTGGTCACAGCTACAAATTGGTTTTCATCCATTTTCCCAGTGGCCTGTTCAAGTGCAAATGGACATTTGTCAATGCACAGCCTCCTCACCCAGAGCCAAATTAGGAGGTTGTGACTTGGGTTCAGATGGCCAAGGGCACTTCAAATGCTGCAGTCACAGAATTTCAATATGGTAAGCCTCAGGATCGACTAGGGAATGACCACCGGACAATGGAAGACTAGACATGGTTATTATCATTTCTCGAGGAAGGTGACTACCCACTGAGTTTAAATGTCTTGGACTGGGTATCTTTAAGTTGTTATCAGACAATGGCTATTTGGTGCAATAATGAATAGGTTCAGTATAGGTCAATGGCCCCCAACCCCAATTTTTCAATCAATCAAATCCATCAACAAACATTTATTAAGCATCTACTATGTGCCAGGAACTATGGTAGGTTCTGAGGATAAAAAGACAAAGAATGAAACAATCTCTATTCTCAAGAAGTGGGCATGATACCATTATTACCACTATTTTTTAATATAGTACTAAAAATATTAGCTATAGCAATAAGAGAAGAAAAAAAATTGAAGGAATTAGAATAAGCAATAAGGAAACAAATCTATCAGTCTTTGCAGATGATGTGATGGCATACTTAAAGAACCCTAGAAAATCAACTAAAAACTATTTGAAATAATTAACAATTTTAGCAAAGTTGCAGGATAGAAGATAAATCCATATAAATCATCAGCATTTCTTTATATGACCAGCAAAGCCCAGCAGCAAGACATAGAAAGAGAAATTCCATTTAAAATAACCGTAAACAATAGAAAATATTTGGGAGTCTACCTGCCAAGACAGACCCAGGAGCTATATGAATACAATTAGAAAACACTTTTCACAGATATAAAGTCAGATCGAAACAAGTGGAAAAATATCAACTGTTCATGAGTAGGCTGAGCCAATATAATCAAAATGACAATTCTGCCTTAAACTAATTTATTTACTCAGTGCCATACCAATCAAACTAACAAAAATTATCTGACAAACCTAAGAAAAAATAACAAAATAACAGAAATAACAAAAGGTCAAGAATATTGAGGGAATTAATTTAAAAAAATACAAAGGAAGACAACCTAGCAATACTGGATCTCAAACTATATTATAAAGCAGTAATAATCAAAACCATCTGGTACTGGCTAAGAAATAGAGTGGGAGATCAGTGGAACAGATCAGGTACGTGAGACACAGTAGTCGATGACCACAGTGACCTAGTGTTTAACACACCCAAAGACAAAATAGCCTTTGGGATAAAAACTCACTATATGACAGAAACTGCTGGAAAAACTGGAAAACAATAAGACACAAATTAGGTATAGACCAATATCTCACACCATATACCAAAAGGAGGTCAAAATTGGTACGTGATATAGACATAAAGGGTGACACCATAAGCAAATTAGAAGAACAAGGAATAGTCTACCTTTCAGATCTATGGGAGGGGAAGAATTCATGACCAAACAAGAGACAGAGAGCATTACAAAATGTAAAACAGATAATTTTGATTATATTATATTAATTATATTAATATATATTAAATAATATTTAAATTAAATTATATATATTAAATTATATTGTATTATATTAAAATAAAGGGCTTTTATGCAACCAAGATGAAAAGGAAAGGAGAAGGCTGGGAAACAATATTTATGGCAAATGTCTCTCATAAAGGCCTCATTTCTCCAATATAGAGAGAGCTGAGTCAATTTATAAGAATATAAGCCATTCCCCAATTGATAAATGGTGAAAGGACATAAACAGGCAGTTTTCAGATGATGAAATCAAAGCTATCTATAGTCACATGAAGAAGTGCTCTCTAAATCACTTTTGATGAGAGAAATGCAAATTAAAACAACTCTGAGGTACCACCTTACACCTATCAGATTGGCTAATATGACAAAAAAGGAAAATTATAAATGTTGGAGAGGATGTGGGAAAATTGGGACACTAATGCACTGTTGGTAAAGTTGTGAATTGATCCAACCATTGGAACTATCCTTTGATCCAGCACTATCCCTGTATTCCAAAGAGATCATAAAAAAGGGAAAAGGACTTCCATGTGCAAAAATATTTATAGAAGCCCTTTTCATGGTGGCAAAATATAGGATAATTGAGGGGATGCCCATCCATTGGGGAATGGCTGAACAAGCTGTGGTATATGAATGTAATGGAATGCTACCGTCCTATAAGAAATGATGAGCTAGTGGATTTCAGAATAACCTGGAAAGACCTGTATGAACTGACGCAAAATGAAATGCGGAACCAGGAAAACACTGTACCCAGTGTCAATAATACCGTGTGCTGAACAGCTACGAATGACTCCACTCTTCTCAGCAACACAGGGATCCGAGACGAGTACAAAAGACTGGCGAAGGAAAATGCTATCCCCAACCAGATAAAGAACTGATGGACTCTGAATGCAGATTGAAGCACGTTTTTTCACTTGCTTGATCCTTTTTCGTATTTTTTTCTTTTATCCATTTCTTCTCTCACAACTGTGACTAACATGGAAATATATTTTACATGGTAGCACCCATATAACCTACGTCAAACTGCCTACCATTTTCAGAAAAGGGGAGGAGAGGGAAGGAGAGACAAATGCGGAACTCAAAATCTTGTAAAAACAGATGCTAAAAACTGACTTGACATGTGATTGGGGAAAAATACTATTTTTAAAAAATCATACATTATAAGTACATAAAATGTATATGAAATTAACAAAGTAATTGGGTGGAAGGCCCTTACAAGTTAATTTGGAGCAAGGAGAATCAGGACAGGACTCCAGCAGAAGATGAAAATGGAAGATTTAAAGAGGCAGACATAACGGAGCACAGGCAAAGGTACAGAGATGGGACACTGAATATCATGCGTGAGGAAAAGAAAGATGTCCAGTTTGGCTGTGGCATCAAGTGAATAAAGGGGAATAATTATGGAAATAATTCTGAAGAGGCTAGGGCCAGGGCTTTCAGTGCCAACCAGAGGAGGAGGCTGTATGGATCCTAGCGGTAACTGGGAGCCAATGAAGTTTATTGAGCAGGGGAATATGGTCAGAAGAGTACGTTAGGGACATCGCAGAGTGAACAAAATGAACATGCCTTAACACAACATTTTTAGGAAAAGGGTGAAAGTGTGTGCAACAGGAAATCAAACAACACCAAATAAGTGTCTAGTCTCCGGTCTATCAAAAAACATTCATTAAGCTCCTCCTATATGCCACAGCCAGAAAGGTGTTTTCTCACAGGATGTCATCATACGCCTCCATAAGGCAGCATGAAAGAGTGGATAAACCGTAAGACTCAGTGTCAGGAAATCTGGAGTCAAATCCCGCCTAGCGGTGTGACTACGAGCAAGTCTCTGATCCTCAGTTTCCTCATCTGTAAAATATGGATGCTAATGCTTGTAGTATGCAAGCAGGATTATAGAGGTCCAAATGAGCACTTCTTGAAGAACTTAAAGCCTTTGCAAAACCTAAAGCATTTAAAAAAATTGATAGCGATAATGACGATGAAAGCCAATGTTAAATTACAGCCTGAGGGACTCCATTTCAGCAGGTTTAGGGCCTTTCAGAAGTTCTTCCTGGACTTCGCACAGCACCTTGGATGCTATGCTGTAGGTGCTTAATAAATGTTTACTGATTGATGGAAGTGTTAAGAAGAATTCACCAGACTATTTATGCTAAGGGCCAGAAAACCCTCATCGTTTTTCTATTTTTCTTTCCAGAGAAAAGCTAACCAATAATAACTAATTGTTGTTGTAGTCACATCTGACTATACATGACCCCGTGAACCACAGCACACCAATGCTGTCCATAAGGTTTTCTTGGCAAGGATACCAGAACGGCTTGCCATTTCCAGCTCCAGTGAATACAGGAAACAGAAGTTAAACAACTTGCCCACACAGCTACTTTGTGTTGAGACTGGATATGAACTCAGGTCTTCATGACTCCAGGCCCAGTGCTTCAACCCACGGAGTCATCTAGCTGCCTCAATTAATTAATTAATGCTTCTTCATTAACTCACTCATCCTATCCTGAGTTCCAGTTCTTAAACCTCGTCCTGAGTTCAAGAGGAGGGGTCAAGTTGTCCTTCCCCCCCGCCCCCCCGTTTCTTACCACAGCCTTATCCCAGATGACAGACATGCGCTCCTCCACCCCATTTGTGCCCTCGGGTATGGCCGTGAAATTGTCCTTCCCAATTGCCTTCTGAGCTGTGCTGAATGTGCAGTGGGCGCTCCCAGCAAGATGCAGGTCCCCACTGGCAGGAGAGAAAAAAGCTTTAGGTCAGGAAAGATGGCAGAAAAGACCTCAGCACAACCTGCTACCTAGGACAGATGCCCTTGAAGTACAACGCAAAAAGTTAAAGGACCTGCTTCAAATCCCACTTCTCAACACTTAACTATTTATGTAACCTTAACAGCAAGTCACTAAATCTCCTTAGGCTTCAGCTTTTTCATACGTATATGTCCTCTTTCATAGACAAGAATGATAATAATAATAACGACAATAACGATACCAATATCTAACGTTTATATTAGCACTTATGTGCCAGGAACTCTACTAAGCACTTTACAATGATGATAATGATGATAATAATATCTAACATTTATATAGTGCTTACAGTGTGCCAGGCACTGTGCTAAGTGCCTTATCGTAATGATGATGATGATAATTATTACAATAGTAATAGCTAATATTTATATAGCACTTGCTATGTGCCAGGCATCAATGCTAAGCACTTTACAATTATTATCTCAGTTGATTCTCACAACCACCCTGGGAGATGAGTGCTGTGAGTACCCTCATTTTCCAGATGAAGAAACTGAGGCAAACATAGGTTAAGTGACCTACCCAGGGACACGCAGCTAGTATGCGTCTGAGGTCAGATTTGAACTCAAGTCTTCTTAATTTACACAGATGAAGCACTCCACCCACTTTACCACCCAGCTGCTAGAGGATTTCAGCGCCTTTGTGTCTGAGAGGAATTTCTGACTCTCAAAAGCTCAAGAGGAAAACATATTTCACTTTATTGTTACTATTTCTGCTCACAACAATAACTTTCTAATGATGATTTTTTAAAAGACCAAAGATATCTGCGCTACCTAATTACAGAGGCTACTGTGCTGCCCAGTGGTCCAAGGAACAAGTCATCTCAGGGCCACTGAGGCCAGGACGCAGATTCTAACTACAAGAAAATCTGAGGACTAGGCACATTATCACGAACAGAGGACTTGAACACTTCAGAGACTCGAATACGTCTATGACAGCCTTAAAACGTAAGGGGGAGTACAGGAGAAAGTTCCATTCCCATCATTCCGGTGATGGCTCTAGCCGTGTGGCCTTGGATGTGTAAAACCCCCTCTCTGGGCCTCAGGTTAGTTTCCATGCCTCTATAAAATAAAATGAAGGGATTGAAATGGGTGACTTCTAAGGTCCCTTCTGGCTCTAACACTCTGCTCTGGGAAAACAAAGAGGGCACAGTGGAATACAAGCAACACTGAATCTATAGGGACAGAACAGGGTTTAAATCCCACCTCCAATGTTACTGCCTGCGTGACCTTGGGAAAGCCCCTCAAACCTCCACGGGCCTCAGTTTCCTCATCTGTAAAATGAAATCAGTGGACCAAATGGCCTTTGAGGTCCCTTTCACCTCTAAATCTAGGATGCTATGAGCCTATGCCCGGTGGGATGGGAGGCTGCACACTAACAATGCTTGCCACCAGGGAGCAGCAGTGAACAACTCCAGTAATGGATGTGGCCACCAAAAATGGCCAGATAACTGTTCAATATTGGTGGAGTGATCCCTTATACTCACTACACTTTCGATTTAAATATAGGTTATACTCCTAAAACATATCTCTTTAAGAGGAAAAAAGGGTACATATTAAAGATAATTACATAAAATCACCATATTTTAAAGTATATTTACAGTGAAAGGTTTTGGGTTTTAACCTTTCTTTCACATAAAGAGGCTTCATTTCTTTTTGTCATCATCACTCTCTATCTTTTTCATTTTCATTCTCATTCTCTTAGAAAGGGAATGGAAAGGTGGCATAATATAGTGGATGGGGACTGGCCTCAAAGCCAAAACCTGGGTTCAACTCCCACCACATATTAGCTGTCTGATGTGGGCACATTCACCTAAATCTCTCAATCTTCTAGGCAAGTCTTAAGATGGTAAGGTGAAGAGAAGGTGCTGGCTCACACTGGGAGGAGGAGTTTCCTTGCACGGGAATTTCTTACACCAATGAGATCAAAGGTCTAGTCTGAATCCATGTGAGATAATCCCGATGAGATGACATTTTCAAAAAGTGCTCAGCACAGCGTCTGGTACATAGCAGGCACTACGTCAATGTCTATTGCCTTCCCTTTTCCTTTATCAAAAGCACAATGTAGTAGAATGGGAAGAACATAGGTCTTGGAAGTCTGAAGTTGTCGTTCAGTTCTGTCTGACACTGTGACTCCATTTGAGGTTTCTTGGCAAAGATTCTGGATTCTGGTTTGCCATTTCCTTCTCCAGCTCATTTTACAAATAAGGAAACAGGGTAAGTGACTTGCCCAGGGTCACACAGTTAGTAAGTGTCTGAGACTGAATTTGAATCAGAAAAATAATCTTCCTGCTAGCATTCTATCCACTGCATAGACCTTGGGTCAATTCCCTGAGTCCTCATCATAGTGCTTGGCCCCTAGTAAGCGTTTAGTAAATATTATACCTGTTTATCTATCTAACAAAGTAGTTTTAAAGTTTCCAAACTTACCATCAGCCACTCCCAGGGCTTTGGGAGCCTGGTGCCAAGCTCTAGGAACTCTCCATACAGTAGGTAATCAATAGATGTTTGATGACATTGACCAGAAAAGCATTTGCCAAACAGAACAAATCACCGGGTAAGCAGAAGGCAGGAAAGTGGCAGAGAGGATAGAGATGGACCTGGAGGCAGGAAGACCTGAGTGGAAAGCCTACCTCCAACACTTCCTCAGCTGGGTGACCCTGGGCAAGTCACTTGGCCTCTGCCTCAGTTATCCATGTAAAATAGGGACAATAATAGCACCTAAAGGGCAACTAGGTGGCTCTGTGGACAGAGAGCCGGAACTGAAGTCACGAAGACTCGCTTTCAACAACTCAGTAACAGCAGAGAGTGTCTACCTTCCAGGGCTGCTACGTGGATCAAATGAAATCATATTTGTCAAGCACTTCACAAACTTTAATTTGTTGTTACTGATTAGTCATTTCATTTGTGGCCAACTCTTTGGGACCTGATTCGAAGATCTCTGGGCAAAGATACTGGAGTGGTTTGCCATTTCCTTCTCCAGCTCATTTTATGGATGAGGAAAACTGAGGCAAACAGGGTTAAGTAACTTGCCCAGGGTCACACAGCCAATAAGTGTCTGAGGCTGAATTTGAACTCAGGTCTTCCTGACTCCAAGCCTGGCACTTTATCCACTGCTCCACCTAGCTGCCCCTGCAAACCTTAAAGTGATGACAAACCTTCAATGATGATAATGATGTTGATGATTATAATAATGGGCAGCATGGTATAGACGACAGAGACTTAACTCTGGAGTCAGAAAGACCTGGGTTCACGTCTTGCCTCTAACACGTATTAGCTATATGACACTGGCCAAATCACCGAATACCCCCAGGCAACTCTAGGATTTATGAACTGCAGCTAAGCACTCAATCTGTACCGGTAGAGAGAGTTAGCACCTTAAGAGTCCCCTTACACCAATGAAAACACAGGTCTGGATTCTCCCATCCACCCCCCTGCCCCCACTGAGAGGCAGACTCTTAAAGCCGCACAGTGGAGGACAAGGTTGTCATTAGGGTGTGAGATCTGGCAGAGGACAAGATGGCGCCGGGGACACTCGATCTGCTCCAGGAGTCTTTACAAAGTCTTCAACAGGATGTCATTATTCTCTTGGCTCCGTTCATGTCAGCATGGATGAGAAACACGAGAAAGTCCAGCCCTGGGCCTCCGAGGAATTTCTAGAATTCACAGCTCGCACAGTGTCTGCATCCGATCTGCCTGACAAGTCCCATTGGTCTGGGTCTGCCCCAGCATGCCTCTGCCCCGTGGCACCTTGCAGCTGAAAACCTTGCCAGATTAACCCCACGTTGCTCGGAACCCTTCTCTGCTGCCAGCTGCCCCACTGGGAACGAACTCGCTTGAGACTCCACTCTACCTTCTGCTCTCTTCCTCCTACCCCACATGCTGCTCTATGGCAGGGCTTCTGAAATTTTTTCCACTCAAGACCCCTTTTCCCATATTGGCAGTGTTTGTTGGCGCTGCATGGCCTAAGGGCATGCACACTTAAAGTGCTGCTCTATGGTATATAAATGACCACTGGGACATGCCGGTGAAATATCAGATAGAGTACTGGACTTGGGAGTCAGGAAGACCCAAGTTCAAATGCTGCCTAAGATACCTTCTATGTGACCCTAGGAAAGTCACATAACCTACAACCCAAGAGAGATGTGAAGAGTAAGAGATAATATATAAACTATGTATATGTACACACATACATTGTTGTTGTTATTATTACTGTAATTATTATTATTATTATTATTATTATTACTATTAGCTGGCACCCACCTTGCCAATAGGGAGTTGATGTAGTCCGGAGTGGTGGGGTCAGGGCTCAGTGGGGGAGATGTCACAAAAGCAGCAGCTTTGGCCCAGTTCTTGCTCCAATAGTGTGTCCCATCCGTGCCAAGGCTGGCTGTGATGGGCTCACCGAACACCACATTTCCTACAGGATGGAAAGAGAAGGCGGAATCTGTATCATGCAGACACTATGCAGGCCTGATTTACGTCATGATTTTTCCTAAGGAAGAGAGGTGTTTTTAGAAGACCTGGGTTCACATATTGCCTCAGATACATACTCACTGTGGGATCCTGGACAAGTCAGCTAAGGCAGCACAGTGATTCGAGTGCCAGACCTGTAGTCTGAAAGCTGTTGAGTCATTTCCAGACGGGTCTGACTCTCTACACTCCGTATGGGGCTTTCTTGGCAAAGATACTGGAGTGCTTTGCCATTTCCTTCTCCAGCTCACTTTACAGATGAGGAAACTGAGGCAAAGGAGGTTAAGTGACTTGCCCAAGGTCACACAGCTAGTAAGTGTCTGAGGCCAGATCTGAACTCAGGAAGATGTTTTCCAAACTCTAGTCCCAGAACTCTATCCACTGTGTCACCTAGCTGCCCAGAGTCAGGAACACCTGAGTTCAAAATTGGCCTCAGATGATTACGAGCTGTGTGACCCCAGGCAAGTCACTTAATTTCTGTCAGCCTTGGTTTCCTCATGTGTAAAATGGAGATAATAATAGCACTTCCCACTGCTGTTTTGAGGGTACAACAGTATTTGTCAAGAGTGCTGCGAACCTTAAAGGACTATAAAAATGCTAGCTATTATTGTAATTATTATATTTACTTAACCTCTTAGCGCCGCCAGACACATCTCTATGACTATAAGGTGCACAGTACATATAGACCTACATGGGTGGAAACTCATGGGAGATTCTTAAGCTAATGACATCACAGGTTTAGAAAACAATGATGACAAGGTACCCAGAGTAGTATGTGAGAAAGATCCAAGCTCATCCTCTCCCCAAAGTCAACAGGGATAACTAGATCCTGATCTGAGTAAGGATTTCCACTGCTGCCCCAAAGCCAAAGTTTTCTCAAAAGAAGAAAGATTACCCTCTGGTCCTTTTTCATCACTTCAATCTTAGGCAAGGAGTAAGCCAAGAACACCAAGTAAAACTCTGGGGACAAGCAAAGGATTAAATGTCCCCAGAGATTAAGTCTCCAATGGACCACTTGATGAGGGAGCCCTCATGGCAGAGGGAATCCCATTGGACTTCATTAATAGAGATCCTAGTAGAACAGTGAATTACAGAAGTCTAGGGGATTGCTGAGGCAAAGGAATAAAGTTGTGAAACTCTATCCTTGGAGAACCACAGCACCTTGAGGGGATGGAAGTTTCATCAGGGTCTTTGTACTCCCAATGCTCAGCACACAGGAGACATTTAATAAATGTTTGTTTAAAGTCAAATACCCATCAGAAGGTAGATGAGATTATTGAAGAATGACCATACAAGTTACGATATATAAATACAATGAAATATTATTATGCTGTAAGGAAAAATCAATATAATGAATACAGAAAAGCATGGGAAGACTTATATGAACAGATGCAAAGCAGAACCTAGAAAATAATATCTACGATGACTACAATCTTGTAAATGGAAAGAATGACAAGAATAAAATGATTGAAACTGAATGAATTTAAGTAACAAAGACTAAGCCTGGTCCCAAAGAAGAGATATGATGGAACACTCTATATGTAAAACACTAGAGATGAGATAAGACTTTTCTGATGTGTTAGGTAGCTTTGCTAGACGGTTTTGAGGTTTTCATTTTTTAAGAGGGATGCCTTTCTGGGAGAGAGAGGAATATACTGGGAAATGTAGCTTTTCTGGCTTCCTTCAAGTTTCAACTAAAATCCCCTTCCTGCAAGAAACCTTTCCAATCCCTCTTAATGTTAGTGCCTTCCCTAGGCTGATTCTCACCAAATGATCCTATATGTATCTTGCTTGTACATAGCTATTTGCATGATTTCTCTCCTATCAGACTGGTAGCTCCTTGAGAGCAGGGACTGTCTTCTGTCTTTCTTTGAATTCCCACTGTTTTACACAGAGCCTGGCAAATAACAGGTGCTTAGTAAATGCTTAATGAATAACTGTTAGTTGACTATAAAAATAAAATACAGCAATAAAAGTTATTCTAAACAGGAAAAAAGTCGATGAGCACTGAAATCTACTCTCACCCCAAGCTGGTATTCATCAGCTCCATTCCCCATTTTGAGGGTCAGAACCATATTTAGCCCTACCCTTTCTAACTCTCATTTATCTTTCTTCCTCGTCCCAAAGTCTCCCCTTTAAGGCTACAGAAGAGGCTTGGCTTACTAAGAATGCCTAGCATACTCCAATGAAACCAAATGTGTGATGTTAATCTGCCTGAAGCTCCAGGAGCTCTCTATAAATATTAATTCAACTGAAAAATGCAGATGCATGAAGAATGAAAAAAATGAAAGGAAAAACAACTGTATGGAGAAATAGCAAGAAGGACACAATGGTGGAGAAGTGAAGAAAACTCATCCAGGCTCTGACAGCCCGAGGCATTTAGTCCTAAGGAGCCCCTCTCAGAAGCTGAGCCACCAAAGACCTTGGAGACACATCAGCACTGACCATGAAAACCACCACATCTCCTTGCTCAGGATTATCTTCTCTCTTCCCTTGAAAAAGAAAGAGGAATGAAATCTTCAGGGACATACTTCCTCTCTAGGGCCAGGTTTTTTTTTTCCTTACTAAAATATGCTTTATTTCCTTTTGACACTCGGTTTACTGGCCATATGAAGACTTATACCAGACCTACAGTATGGACCTTCTACATGAAGCAGGGTCTGAGCAAAGACTCAACACTGTGAAATCACTTCCTCAACTATGAAATGAAGCGGTTTGGCCCAGCAGGCTTTAAAGGTCCCTTCTGGATCTAAATCTTATTTCGTCTTTTCCTAAGCAACCTTCACTTGAGTCCAAAGGCTCTGAGCAATTTCCTCCCCAGTAAGGGAACAGACCAATCCAAGAAAACAGAACTCAAGGTCAAGTCTGTCCAAAGGGACAGCACTCAAAGCAGAACCTCTCAGGGCAGCAAAATACTCATGAGAAGCAGCATGGAGAAGTGGTCCCCAGGATGGCTTTGCAGGCATGTGTACACTCGCCTAGTTTCTACTTTTCTCCATGAAAGGAAGGAGTGAAACAGGGGAACGCTGGGCCCTTTTCCCAGATCCAGCCCTCTTGTGACTCAGGCATCAAGGAAAAACAATATAGTGTCAGATGAAAAGTTTAACACCATAGTAAAACACACACACACACACACACACACACACACACACACACACACAGTAATACAGGGAACCCAAGTGAATCTCTCAGGGCTGCCTAGACAGAAAGGGTTCTCTGCCCACAAGAATGGGCCGGCCACCCACCCTCTGGGAAGCTAGGCATCAAAAGGCAGCTTGGGCTATTTTTAGCAGTCCCAATCACTTACATGTGGAGTTTTGGGGACTTAGCCCAAAATGTGGTATTTAAACTACTGTCTGTTCTCACAGCTTCTCCTCCACCCAAAATATTTCGTTACTACCTAATGATCTGGCAATCAGCATTCACCTAAAGCAAAAGTCCTGGTGGATTTGTCTGAAGCCATTCCCTTTCTCCTCTCTTCCATCCTTCCCTGACTCCATTCACTGTCTGTCCCTACAGTTTTCATAACCACTCCCAGACCACTCATTCTGGGGTCAAGCCATCTACCAGTCAGGTCAAGGGACAACGTCTTTGATAAATACCAGTCAGCAGAGTCCACCCAGCCTTTAAAGTAACATAATTCTTCCAGAGACACTGGAATAATGGGCATAATTAGCAGTGAACAAAAGTGAGGATGTGTAAAACAGTTTCCAGGATAGATAGGGAAGGGCCTACATTTTATGAACAAGTCACCCAACTCCTTGGGCCTCAATTTCCTCATTTGCAAAATAAGGGGTTGGATTCACTGACGTCTGAGCTTCCTTTCAACTCTAGAGCTAGGATCCTAAATCCCACATGTGTATGTTCAGCAGAGCAAAGACTTGGGGACACTGGCCAGGAAGGAGAGGAACAGAGTGAGAGGCACAGGGGGACCTCGCTAAGAGCACAATTCACCTTTCTTCCGGGCTTGAGAGATGAGGTCCGCAGCACTCTTGCTCATGACCTTGGTGATGTAGAGAGGGCAGTTGGTTTGACTGGCAATGGTGATGGCCCGAAAAACAGCCTCAGCTTCCAGCTAGAAGGAAAGGAACCAAGACGTCAGAAAGGCCAGGGACCACCTCCCCAACAAAGCTGCCAATCCTCCCACCTTCCAGAACCCTGGTGCCATTCCTCATGGAGATGGGTGGTCATGAGTTGACAGAGAAGGAAGCTGAATTTTTCAGCTGGCTCTGTTTGTTAAGTAAACACCCATGCCATATGTGTACTTAAACAAGGTTGAAATAATATTACAGCCTTTATCTTCCCATCCCACTAAATGGTGTACCCCACCCTTCTAGGAAAACACCACCGTAGTACCAGAATGTCTGCCTGAAACAATCAATAAACGTCAGCTGAACCATAGCCTCAAACTCTGGTATCTTCTGAGTAACATCATTGCAAGGTCAAGTCCAAGGGGTTGGTGATACCATAAATTAATCAATCCTTCCTTACCACCTAGGTGAGGTCACAAGCTTAAGAGAACAGTATGTGGGATGTCCCCAAGATCAAATCCAATTCTTATAAACCCAAAGCAGGGATTGTGGAGCACAGCTTCTAATTGTTATAAACCGTACAGGATTAGTTCATCAGGCATCACAAAGCCCTTCCACGCTCACTACTTCAATAAGTCCCCCAAGTTATCTGTGTACTTCCCTATCTCCAACCACCCTGTATTTACTATCTCTTGGCTTCCCTGCCCTTCAGTTTCCTTGTCTGTAAAATAAGGGAATTGAGTTGATAACCCCAGAGGTCCCTTCCAACTACAATTCCATGATCTGTGTATATGCTATATACAGTCCAGCAAAATATAAGCTCAACAGCAGAAAATGGTTTTGATTGTTTATTTTTGTCTCTGCATCTAATTGCAGTACCTTGCACTTAGCATATGCTTAATGAATATATTTTTTAAATTGAACTGAAGCAGAAGGTGGTAGAGAGTTGGGGGACTATGGGCACAAGATATCATATATACCGACAGATATGGCATCACTGTGTTGGTAGGTTTTGTGTAAATGTTTTAATTTGCTGCAAGGGAGGAGGTCACCATTATTTTTAAAAGTCTATACCTATTATATGTGTGTGTGTGTTTATCATACTTATTTTAAAATAAACCCATTTTTATTAATTTTTTTACAAAAGAATACAGTGGGAAAGTTTTGTACAAATGTTGGTAGGATTTCTGTAAATGTTTTACTTTGCATAAGAGAGGAAGGAACAGGAAGTGACTGTTATTTCTAAAAGTTTATACCTATGTTAGGTATATATTAAACTTATTTTAAAATGAACCAATTTTAATCAGTAATTTTTGAAGAAAAAAAAACACATTGGGAAGAACATAGCCTGTAAACAACAAAAGTCTGAGTAGTTGAGTCTGTGCTCATCACAAGCGACTTTTTCCTCTCTGGGAAGGAAGGTGACATTGGGCTTCCAGATGACCGAGCAGGATACCACTGACCCTCTGTTATCTCTCAGACTATTATCCTTTCAAGTTTCTCTGTGGAGCCTCTGGGTTCCAGGGCTCAAAGCACCACTCAAGGTACAGTTTAGGTATGCTTTGAACTAGAGAGGGCCTGCCTTGTTCCCTGATAACTCCTCCCTCTGAGCAGCTGCCTTGACCACTTCAGCTCCCTATGACCTCAACCCTGGCCTTTGATCTCCCTCTCTCCCAGGGTGGCGTGGATTTCCAGCACTTCGGCAACCTGACTATCTTTGGAGGGTTACATCACCCTCTCTGACTTCACCCACAAGGGCTTCCAAGGTTCTGACAGATGCTACAGCTGAAAGGCCTCTTATTAAAAAGAAGAAAGGGGGAACGAGCAAGTAAGCCAAACCAGAGAAGGCAAAAATAGGCCTTTCGTTGAAATCCCCTGGCCCACGGCCCACTGCAGACTCCCTCAGTGACCCAGCTGAAGGAATCTATCTTGCAAGCGGTGGTTAGCCTTTAGAAATGGTTTCGAGAATGGCGCCGATTAGCCCAAACCAACCTACCCTGTGGAATTAATCTGGCTTTGTTTCCCACATGGTGGTGACTGACTTTACAGGCAAGATACATCTGGCCTATAAGCCAGGGTCAAAAGCTGCTAATGAATTCCAATGACAAATTCAAGTAATAGCGAAAAGAAGGGATCATTACAAGTGTGTGAGGGGGGAGAGAACTAGACCCTTCTGTTTAGGGACTTTCTGCCTCCCATCACTAACACTGGCTCAGAATTGCGGAACAGGAAGGGAGTTTTATATATTTACATGCAAGACACAGAATCAGTTCTGGCGGCCCGTTCCATAATGCCAGCCGGCCAGCCTTTACGATGCCAACCTGGTATTTACCACGAGAGCAAACAATTCCCAATCCTACGGGCAGATGCCACCATGTAAAGTGAGTGCTACTCTGGAGACAGGCATACAAATCCTTCTACTGTACCGCACCCCTGTCCCCTCACTAATCTCGAACCTAGTACACAAATGAAATATGAGGCAGTTTGGTTTTACAGGGGTATGAATGCTATACTTGGAGTGGGGAAGAAATCAGTTCGAATCATGCCTGACACTTCTTATCTGGATAAGTCCAGGTAAGTCAATCTGACTCAGCCTCAGTTCTCTCATCTGTAAAAGGGGGATAATACCAGCACTTACCTCACAGGGCTTCTGTGAAGATTAAATGAGATTAAATAAAACAGCTCTGAAACCCCAAAGAACTATACAAATGCTAGCTATTATGCTCATGACGATATAAAGACCACCAATATCCAAAAGAATTACCAATTCCAGAACGTGAAGAAATCCTGGTAACTGTAGTTTTAGAAGACATGGAATATTTAGTGATAAACTTATATAAAACCTACAGCATGTCAGAAAGCAGATGAAATAATTTCTCATCCACTTGTGTGTCCAAGGGATTGTGATTCTGGGATTGAAAAAAAATTGAAATTCGGGACCACGATGATGAATCCACAGCTATCCTCGGGGGAGTGAAGGAATTCAGAAGTTTCCCTCCCACTGCCATTCCCAAAGGTCTATGGATGTCACTTGTTTTAATGAGATTAGAAGAGAGATACCCCTCTTTCTCTCAGCAATCCCTTTCCAATTTGGATGCACTCTTTGCTTGTGTTGGCCAAACATAAGCCTTTGATAAAATGCTTCAATATAGTTTCCCTCTCTTTATCGATTTTTCTCCATCTCCAAGATGAGTGTGTGCAAAAATCTATGTGTGAGCAGACACGAAGCTGCGTGTGGGGGGAGGGAGAGAGGTACACACTCCTTAGGAGCGACTGCCAAACATAAATGCATCTGACATAAAACAAGTTACAGGATGCAAGGAAGAAAGCCTGCTTCTGATAAGAGCGCGTCTCCCGGGAGGGCGCAGAGAGGAACGCAGGCAGCCCCAGCTTTCGTTTCTTTCCTTAGTTTTTGCCACTTACCTCCTCTGGTCTACTCAGCACATGGCCTTCTGGGCCAGTTATTCCAATTTCCAACATCCGGGCTTGTTCCTAGAGGGATGAAAAGCCACATGTCAACAGATACCAGTTAACTATCAGTTAAAAAGGTAGAGAATTCTAGAGAACATTTCCACATAAGGACAAAAAAGAAAATGGAACCATGAGATCTCTACCAGAATGGTTAGAAGAACCACCGAGCCCAACTTCTCATTTTACGGAGGAGGAAACTAAGGACCAGAGAGAGGAAACAATCTGAACGAGATGATGCAGGCAGGTGACAGAGATGAGATCTGAACCCAGAGAGGCAGTGTGGTACAGTGGTGAGAGCGACTAGCCCAGGTTCGACTCCTGTTCTAATACTTTCTATCCATATGACCTTGGGCAAGTCAACTTAACTTTCAAGGGCCTTAGTTTTCTTCATCTGTAAAAGGAGGATACTGGACCAAATGACCTCTGAATTTCCTTCCTATTTAAGCTCTCTAATTCCCCTAAATCAAATCCAGTCCTTACACGCTATCTCTGCTCAACGGGGCATATTCTTATCAAATTATATATCTTACCTTTTACTTCAAGCCAGCAACATCCTCTGTGTATGACATACCACTTCTCCATATCCCACCTCTGACACTAACCAGGCGACTGCGCCACGTGTGTAGACAAACAATTCCCTGGAACTCTGCTCTGCTGGTGGTGGGAGCAGTAACCACAGAACTAACAACAGTGCTGAAATCACACATCCCTCCTAGCATGCAGGTGTGTGCACTTTGAACATGCACGTGCATGCGTGCATTTCAAACCACAAAATAATGCAGCAAAGTCCTCCAAGAAAAGGGCAATACCTTTGGGAGGAGAATGCTCTGTTATTCAACTGAACTACAATTTGGATTAGAGAGACAACACTGTTCTGAACCTTCGCTATTGAAGGACTAAAGGACATTTCATTTCCTCATCTGCAATTCAGTAAGCATTCATGAAGTCTATCCCATTCATCCCTCTTTCTGGCTCCATCTCCTCCGGACACCAACCCCTGCCTTCACTTACTAGATGGCAGGAAGAGCACGCAGTAGGGGTAACAGAAAATAACAATGCTACTAATTAGAACAGATTCTGCTCCTCAACAAAAGCTCTAGGATACCTGGAAACCTGACAACAGTTGCACAGATAAGAATCTATGTGGGATAATGGAAGGAGTACTGGATTTGAGGTCCAAGGATGTGGGTTCAAATCTTAGCTCCGCTACTGACTCCCTACATAAACTTGAAGCAAGTTACTTGCTTTCTATGGACCTCAGTTTCTTTATCTGTAAAATGAAGGATGTGATAATCTCTAAGGTCACTTCCACTTCCACCACCACTTCTACAAATCACAGCCTGACCTCTGAGTCCACAAACCACTTTCCCAGCTCTCCAGAAGAAGGCTGCTGAGCTTACTGGGCTTACGGGCTGTCAAATTAGGACAACAACCCTGGAACGATTTGTAACAGGTCATCCTGATTCTTTTTTAAAATAACACGCTTCATTCCAAGAATGCATAAAAACATCAAGAGCCTGGTCTATTGTTCTGGAAGCTTGCTTTGGTCATTCTGGGGTGAAAAATGGAGATAACGTACACCTTTGAAGTGTTCATCTCCATAGGAATGAAAAGGCCTTCTTTTTGTTTCGGAGCAATGAGGTGTTGAGAGCAAAAACTATTCTTTCAGTGTGCAAAGCAGGGACCCATTAAGATTCAGCAGGCAATATTTTTCCAGTTGCTTCTTCATTCTTATGAAAAAGCAAGAACAAAATGGACTGGGCATTGAGGTTATCCATTTTTTACATGTTTACTTGTACAAGTACTGCCTGAACTATCCAAATATGAGGCTTGGGGTGTGTGGGCGTGTGTCTGTCTCTCTGTCTGTCTCTCTCCCCCCCCCCACCTCCCTTTTTCTCTCCTCTCTCTCTACGGAAAACTGAGTTTCCCAACCTCACCCAGGCTGGATTTACATCATCCCCTCACTGATTCCATTCCTGGTCATTACAAAAACTTTGACCCGCTCTGTTTCCAACCTGGGCCAACACACCTCTCCCTAGGCAGCCTCATAACTCCATGCCTCTGGGGGCTTCCCCTGTGGGTACCATACTTACTGCGGACACACCCAACATCAGCCCTACTGTAGCTCAGGATTCCCAACTCCAGTGACACTACTACCCTGCCTGCGGTTGAATCCAGGACAAGCCCTCCTCTATAAAATGAAGGGGTTTCATTCTATGATCTCCAAGGTGCCTTCCACTAACCAGACGCCAGCCAAGCACCTGCTGATAACCCCCTTACGTGAGCTCTGGGCAGCCCAGCTGCAGAAGGGTCACGAGAGCCCAGGCTCTTAGATTCTGCTGCTGCTCTACAACTTCGCAATGTAGATTTTTGGCTTTTCTACTCTACTAAAAGCAGCCAAGTTTGTTTCTTCTTCTTCTTTTTACATAAGGATTTCGAAATCCCAGGGTACATCTGCCGTCTTCTGTTAAACAACAAGATCTCTCATAGCCAAGGCTAAACTTAATAAACAATACTAGAAATTCCTCCAAATGGAAAAGTGCCCTCAATCGTTTCTTGTTTGCAAGAAAGCAAAGAGCCCCAAAGGTCCTTTGGCATCAAGAAACTCAGACTCAAAGGCACACTGTCTTAGGAGAAAAGACAAGGAAGGGAGTTTCTTTGAAAAGGCTATCATATACTTTCAATGTAGCCCAGATTTAGATTTGGTAGGGAGCTCAGAGGCCATCAAATCTAACTCCCTTATTTTATAGATAAGGAAACTGTGGCTGGAACAGAGAAGTTAAGTAACTTACCCACGATCACACAGCTAGCAACAGAAACCAGAACTTCAAAGACCTCATCCACTGCACCATTCTGCCTTCTCAAAATAAGTCAAGAAGCATCCAACGTAGGTCTGTGGAGAATTCTGATGAAGCAGCTTGGGCACTCAAACAAGGGTATCTGGCACTCAAAGGAGAAGTGAGTTTCTATCCAATGCTGCTGAGAATTCTCCTTCTCACCCTTCACACAAAGTGTCTGGAATATCTCTGGGTGCACATGGGATGATGCTTCCAGAGTTTCCCATACACACAACTACTTCTCCCCTACAGTCCTAAGGATGCTGAAAGGACACTGTCTCGTCATCTTCCCCAAACAGGGTAAAATCCAGAGTCTGACAGTTACATGGGGAGAACTCTTCCTGACAGACAAGGCTGGTGCCAGAGAACTGGAAGGAAGGTCTCCGGGAAGATTCTTCACCCTAACTGGAACCACTCCAAGTCCCACTGGATCTAAGCACATTCTTACCCACACTTTGGTGGACATGTTCACCAAGCCTGGGAAAACTTCTGAGAAAAAGAGTTAGGTGGTACCATGAACAGAGCGCTGGTCTTTGAGACAGGAAGACTTGAGTTCAAATCTGGCCTCAGATACATACTGTGTGAGCCCGGGCAAGTCATTTAACTCCTGCTTGCCTCAGTTTCCTCATCTATAAAATGGGGATAATAGCATCTACTTCCCAAGGTTGCTATGAGGATATATATACATATATATATATACACACACACACATATGTGTGTGTGTGTGTGTGTGTGTTAGCTATTATTGTTGTTTTTGTTAAGCATTATACCTGAAGTCAGGAAGACCTGAGCTCAAATCTGGCCTCAGACACTTACCAGCTGTGTGACCCTGGGTAAGTCATTTAACCTTTACTTGCCTCAGTTTCCTCATCTTTAAAACAGGATGATAATAGCACCCTCCTCCCAGGGTTGCTGCGAGGATCAAAGGAGGTAATCATTATAAAAGGTACAGCGCTTGGCACATAGTAAATGCTACAAAAATGTTATTAGCTATCATTATTATTAGCATTATCATAGAGCAGTGGACCTGAAGTTAGAAAAACTAGTTAAAATCTGGCCTCAGTCACTTAACAGCTGTGTGACCCTGAGCGAGTCACTGTCCACCTCAGTTTCCTCAACTGTAAAATAGGATAAATAATGGCACTTACTTCCAAGGGTTATGAGAAAAAAAGTGAAATAATGTTCGTAAAGTACTTTGCATCCCTTAAAGTGCTGTATAAACGCTGGTTCTAATTATCACTGTCATTATGACTATTGCTATCCTACCCAAGTGACTGATGGAACAGTTTTTTGTCAGGGAATCCGATCAAACAAACCCTGAGAAATAGCACGTGTAGTGGAAAAAAATCAATGTTGTCAAGAAAACCAAGCCCAAATCCCAGCTCTGTCACTTAGTAAGTTGTGTTGACATCAGAAAGGCACAGAAAGTGAGCACTGAGAACTGGAAGGGAAACCATAGGCCACGTGGTCCAACACTTATCTGGTGCAGAGACCTCCCCTACAACCTCCCTGACCAGCCATCTAGTGTCTACATCCGTGATGAGGAGGAACTCTCTCCCTCTGGAGGTGGCTAATGCCTTCTACTTCTGGACAGCACTCATCATTGCAAAGTTTTTTTTTTCCCCACAGTGCACCAAAACCTGCTTCTCTGTCCCAACCTAACCCCCTCCCTCCACGTTGAAGTCCTTCAAAATCCGTTCACTCCCAAGGCTCAGTTTCCTCATCTCTGTATAATGCAGAAGTACCTATCTCCTAACCACCACCTAGCTCGAAGGGTTGTTAAAAAGAAAAAAACACTTGGCCACATGACAGAAAGGAGAGTTGTTATCACTAAGAGCTGACCCATCTGTTGTATTCTCTTCCTTCTGGGAGACTCCACTGCTGGATATGTGAAAGCCATGCTGCATCTACTCATCTAACCCATTCAGCACGCACACAGTAAGTACCTCCTGCTTCCTTACAAATGATCTGCCTGGGCTATGGGGCCTAACGTTCACCACTCTTATGACAGGTCACTCAATATGCCCAGGAAACCAATGGAATTTCTCCAGCCCATCCTTAAAAAAATAATCCTCCATCAGGTTCAGTCTTAATTTTTAAAAATTCATTTCCCCCTTTCCATCCTGGGATAGATCCTGCTCCAAAAAGGATTTCCTTTTAGGATAATGACTCTTGAGCAACTAGGTCTTGCTTTCACTTTAGGAAAAATCGCCAGTAACTTTCGGGAGAGCAACATGGTGCTGTGGAAAGAGCAATGCACTGAGAGTCAAATGATCTGAGTCTAAACCCTGTGCTGTTAGTGTTCAACCCTGCCGCTGTTCAGTCGTTTCAGCTGTGTCCAACTCTTCCTGACCCCTTCTGGGGTTTGCTTGACTGATCTGCCCTTTCCTTCTTCAGCTCATTTTACAGATGAGGAAATGGAGGCAAACAGGATTAAGTGACTTGCTGAGGGTCACACAGCTAGTGTCTGAGGCCATATCTGAACTCAGGAAGAAGAGTCTTCCCAACTCTAGGCCTGGTATTCTGTCCACTGCACCACCCAGCTGCCCCAACAATAAGAAGTTCATAAAATACATATATTAGCTCATTTGAACCTCACAACAACCCTGTGAAGTAGATGCTTTTATTGACTCCATTTTATAGAAGACAGAACTGAAGTTGAGACCTCGGTGTGGTGGTAAGAATACTGAATCTGGAGTCAGGAAGCCTTGGGTTTAAATCCTGCCTCAAACATTTACCAGGAAGTCATTTAATCATTGTGGGCCTCAGTTTCCTCATCTGTAACATGAGGAAGTTGGACTCGGGGAGTTCTATGGCCCCTTTCAGCTCAAAATCTATTATCCAGTGGCCTAAGGTCAATGTAAATACGTGGTTCGTTCTTACACAGAGAAGCCTGGGGATCCAGATGGAAAGCACATTCTCGCTGGCTGGACAATTACCTGGGCGATGATGTCTCCATTTTCTGCATGAACTTGAGCAATGGCACCTAGTTCTGCGAGGCAGCTAAAGATCTCATAGAGCTGAAATGGAAAAGGATACCGGTTGTCTTCATCTGAAAGCCTATACTCTTGAACACCCTGAAAGGGAACCGTCAGATGCCCAAAGGAAAACCTTCTTCTTGGGCTCTGGTTGGCAATCAACAAGAAAAATGATTTCAGGATTAAAGAGCCTGGCACTGGAAACCAAGTCAGCATGATTGGTTCCTGCGGCCATCCTCTCTCCCCAGAAGAACACATTCCAAAGAGAATCTTGGGAGAGGGGAATTCAGGGGTTAATGTATTTCCCTAATATCCTGGATCACTTCTCGGATTTGGCCCTATGCCATCCCCTAAGTGGGATGGAGATAGCCTTGGGACTTGTTAACAACACATCTGGTGACTAGTAACTACCTTGGTTCTCAGAGACGCCTCATCTCTGATCTGGACTTCCCTTCCCCCTGGGAAACATAGGGCCAGTCAACCACATCGCCCCCCACGACAGCTACACCCCCAAGGACCTCCCTGGAAAAGCAGTCAGAGATAGGATGGCAATAATCCCTCTGATACAGAACACTCCTAACTCTGCTGGGGTGAGACCCCCCCAGGGCTACACTAAGCTAGGGCTGTGAGGTGAAGGAGGAAGCAATAAAAGGAGATGAAGAGGACCATGCCCCTCCCCAGCTGTCTTTCAAAGGAGACTGCCGCCCATGGAAACTCCAGCTCTGGCTCCCCAGGACTGTGGGAACCTGCCTACTGCCTTATTAACTATGTAGCTGGAGCTGCTCTAGATTCAAAAGGAGCTCCGGCTGTCGCCAAGGGCGACCATGGCGCTCCCCAGGGCCAAAGAAGCTGAGGCCCCAATAAACCAGCCCCACCCAGGCACTCCCAAACCTGATGGCTAAGTCAGTGTTACCTCTGTGTTGGAGACCTGATACAAATCCTTGTAAGCCATGTAAACCATGAAGGAGTTGACGCCTGTAAAAATAAAAAAATGCAAGGGTTGGGGACAGGAGAGAAACAAGAGAGAGGTAAATGTAACCCATATCTTTCACGGTCTCTCTAAAGGGCACAGGCTCTGGAGATGTAAGGCTTGGGTTCAAATCCTGCCTCTGGTGTTTGCTACCTGTATAACCCTGGGCAAGTCAATTAGCTTCTCTGGGACTTAGTTTTCTTGTGAAAATGAGGGCGATGGACTCAGTGACCTCTGAGGTCCTTTTATCTCTAAATCCAAGAACTCACAACTCTATTCACTACAAGCTTTTACTGACGTCTGCCTGAGCTATACTACCAAAGCCTCCGGCTGCTCTTCCCAACTCCAGTTCCCCTCCCCCACTCGCAACAGATCCTTCAGCTGCTTCCAGAATGATTTCACTTAGGTGTAGTTCTGATCCCGCGACTCTACTGCTCAAAACCCCGCAAAGGCTCCCTAAGTGCATAGGTCAAGTTCAAACTCCTTCGCCTCCCACTCAAGACCCTCCATAACCCAGCCCTATCTTATCTTTCCTGCATTCTAATATAACTTTCCTCTGGGTACATTTCCCACCTCCACATCTTTGCTTTGACTGCTCTCTCTGCCTGATCTGTTCAATCATTTCAGTTGCGTCCAACTCTTTGTGACCCCATTTGGGGTTTTCTTGACAAAGATACTGGAGTGGTTTGCCATTTCCTTCTCCAGCTTATTTTACAGATGAGGAAACTGAGGCAAGCAGGGTGAAGTGACGTGCCCAGGGTCACACAAGCCAGTAAGTGTCTGAGGCCAGATTTGAACTCAGGAAGATGAGTCTTCCTGACCCCAGGCCCAGCGCTCTGTGCACTATGGCACTACCTAGCTGCCCAATTTAACTATCGAATTCTTATTTAATACTTAAATTTTAAATATTTAATATCCCTTTAAATATTGCCTCTTTCATGAAGGGTCTCCTTGATCTTTCTGTCAAATGACCTTCCCAGCCCTCTCATAGCACCTTATTAATTGCATCAAATTCTCAACTACAACATTGTTCATTATAGTTATCCAAGTGTCTTAGTCTGCATACCCAATGAGGGCAGCAATCTCTCTCACGCTTAGCACAGTGCTCTGCACAAGCAGACACTAAACACAAGTTGGTCAAATGAATACATGACACAGGAAAGTTTTTTAAAAATTAAATAAATGAATGAGTGATCAAGACCATGGAATCACAAATTTAGAGGTGAAAGAGACCTCAGCTGTCATCTAGTCCAAATCCCTCGTTTGCATGTAACAAACTGAGGCCAAGAAAAGTTAAATGACATCCCCAAGGTCATACGTAGTAAGCAGGAGACCCAGGATTTGAACCCACATCCTTGGACTCCAAACCCAGCACTCTTTCCAATGTACCAGGCTGATGACTCTCCTTTCTTTTGATGGATCACTTTGGTCAAACACCAAGAAGACACAGTATTGTCTTCTTGCAATACTTCCTCCCAACACACAAAGACCCTCACATCTATAACATGAAATCCATTAGCCACGAGGAAAGACTAATTTTCAATTCATAAATGGCGGGAAGGAAAACACTTATCTTGTTTTCTAAAGAACAGACAATACTGATCACAGTCTTGCACAAGCTAAGCTGGGAGGGACGACCTAGTCCAACCCAACGTTGTCATCTTTTGGCTTGCCGTTGTCATCCAATGACGTGTCTATCCCTCCTAGCTTCGTGTCATCTGCACATCTGACAAGCGTGCCAACTAGGTTTTTATCCAAGGAATTCATTAAAATTATTGAACAACACAAGAGACCAAGCACAAATTACTGGAGCACTCCACTGGAAACATCCTTCCAGGGTGATACTGAGCCATGAACAGCTTCTCATACGTGTGTCTCAGGAGCATAAGTTCACTCATCCAGAGCAGGAAGGGACCTCAGAAAGCCTGGCTGCTCAGAGAAAGGTGAGGGGGGGCAGGGTGTGAACTATGCAGTATCTTTTTCCATTAATAAAAACCTCTTTGCCCTAATCCTCAATCCACAGGCTTCTTGCTTAGGGAACAGAGGGTATCTCTGAGATTCACGTGTTGTCTCCAAAGGCAGTGGGGGTAAGGGATGCAGGGCATCTCTTCCTAGGGCGATTCCATTTCCCATTATATATGAAGAAGGTATTATGTCATGGAAGAGAAGAGAGTGCCTGGGGGAAAACACCCTCTCCACGCTCCCTTAAAAACTCTGTCCATCCCCCTTGCTACTGTCCTGAATCTTTCCTCCCTTTCATGGCTAAAGTCCTTGAGAAAGAATCGACAATAATGCCTCTACTTTCTTTCCTCTCGTCTGATGTTAGACCCTGTGCCGTCTGTACTCCAAGCTCATCACTAAACCAAATGTGCTTTCTTCAAAGTTATCAATAATCTCAATCTCTCTCTCTCTCTCTCTCTCTCTCTCTCTCTCTCTCTCTCTCTCTCTCTCTCTCTCTCTTGTTTTTTTTTTTGCTTTTTGGTGAGGCAATTGGGTTTAAGTGACTTGCCCAGGGTCACATAGCTACTAAGTGTCAAGTGTCTGAGGCCAGATTTGAACTCAGGTCCTCCTGACTTCAAGGCCAGAGCTCTATCCACTGTGCCACCTAGCTGTACCCAATAATCTCTTAATTGTCAAATCTAATGACCTTTTTTTTAATCCCCCCATCCTCCACCTTCCAGACCTCTGCAGCCACAGATGTTACTCACACTCCTCTCCCTAGGTTTTCATGACACTGGCTTCTCCTCTTTTCTCCTCCTACCTGTCTGACTGCTCCTTTTCAGTCTCTCAGAACCACTTATGTAGCCCTGACCTCTCTCTCCCAATATCTCCATTCTTGCATTTGCAACTGCCTATTAGACATCTTGAACTAGATGTCCTGAAGACACCTTGAACCCAGCACATCCAAAACTGAAGTCATTATCTTTCCCTCCAAACACCCCACCTTTCCTTACTTCCCTATTCCTGTCAAGGGCATCATTTCTAGTGCCCCAAGCTTGAAACCATAGTATCATCCTTGACTCCTCACTGCCTAAAGCCCCATAAGCAATATGTGGTCAAGACGATTCTATCTTTACAACATCTCTTATAGGCACCTTCCTCATACATTCTCTGTTCTGGGAACGCCTCTGTCCTGGCGCAGGCCGTCACTATCTCACTCCTCAGTTACTGCACTAGCCTGCCGACTGCTCTCCCTGCCTCAAGTTCTCTACCAACTCTCAACCATCCTCCTCCACTCAGCCTTCAAGCTCAGGTCTTACCATATCATGACCCTCTAATTACAATAAACTCCAGCTGGCTTCCCATTACTTCCCGCATCAAACAGAAGATCCTATGGCTTTTAAAGCCCTTCATAAAGTGAATTCCTCCTGCTCTCCAGTCTTCTTATACCCTACCCTCCTCCATCTCATCCACAAGCCAGGGACACTGGCCTCCTTGCACAAGACACTCCATCTGTGCATTTTCATGGCTGCTCCCCATTCCTAGATTTCTCTACCTCCTGGTTTCCCTGGCTTTCTTCAAACCTCACACAAAAACACCACCTTTGGAAAGAAGCCATTCTTGATCCCCTTAATACCACTGCCTTCCCTCTAAGGATTATCCATAATTTATTCTGTATGAGACTTGTTTGTACATAGCTGTCTGCCCGTGAGAATACACATTCTTTAGGGACACAGACTGTTTTCACCTTTTTTTGTATCCTCAGCACTTAGCACAGAGGCAACCAGGTGGTGTAGTGGACAGAACCTTGACCTGGAGTCAGGAAGACCTGGATTCAAATCTTGCCTCAGACATTTACTAGCTTGTGACCCTGGATAAGTCACTTAACTACTGTTTACCTCAGTTTCCTCATCTATAAAGTAGGGATAAAAATAGTACCTTCAAAAAAATAGCACCTTACACCCAGGGTGGTTGTGAGATTCAAGTAAGACACATGTAAACCGCAAAGCACTGTATAAACACTAGCTATTGTTATTGCTATAATATTATAATAATAGCAATAAATAAAAGCTTGCTGATTAACGTCTAAAACTATAAATTACAGAGGAGTTATTGACCAACACTGGTAGAGGGGGTTTTCACAATGTTAGTGTCGAATTTGCCACACTTGTGAACCAAAAAGGGAGGGAAGAAAGGAGTTATTACTGTCTCAGGAGGCAAGAGTCCTACCCCCAAAAAGGAGGGGTGGGAGAACAGAGTATAACGAAAGTCTAGAGGAGAAAGTCTTTTTTTCAAAATTAAATTTCATTTTTTATTATGAACTTGGCAATAACTAACACACATGAACATTTCAGTGTACATTAATGGAAAGTCTCTCTTTCTTCACAAGGCCTTGCCAACCCATTATCTTTCCTTCTCTACCCTCCCAGACCTCTGTTTACATCCCTCAATGGGCAATTCATCACGTACTTCCTTTTGATACGTTACATATTTGTCTTGTATTGTTTCACTTCCCAAGTATTTGCACACCATCGGCAAATACCTTGAGTGCTCTGCCCAAGTCTTCCCTTCTCTAATGCTGAGCACACACGGTGGGCGTGCAATCGATATTCGCTGATGGAGATATTAATGGAAGGCCTTAGAGAACAAAGGTCCTTCCATGGGGACCCAGATTCATCCACTCTCTTTGAAGGGGAACTTGTGCTGGGATGCTTCAAAAAAGGAGAGAAGACCTTTGCTTATGCCTCCTAACCCAAGGTCTGAAGCCAAAATCCCCAACCTCGTGCCGCCCGTGCCTTGGCGGGGAGGCATGGCCCAGATTCTACCCTTCTATTAGCAGGACCTCAGAATCTCCCAAGCTTCCCTGCTCCCTCTTTCCCCTGGAAACCCCATCTCAGGAAAGGGAAAAGTTAAGAAATGGGGTCTGTGGAAAACAGGTGCCCCTAAGGCGCCAAAGGGGAGAGGGTCCCTGGGGAAAAGGAAGCTGCCTCACTCACCTTTGTCCCTGATGAGGCTCTGGACTTCTTGCTTGACGCTGTCACTCCAATGAGTGATGTCCACATGCAAGGAGTAGTCGCAGCAGGTCTTCCCGTCCGCCCACTCCCGCCACTTCTCATAGGCTTCAGTCAGGCTGGATTCTGGGTCAGGGACCACGTGGTCGACTGGACAAGTAAAAAAGGGAGAAGGTCTGAAGCATCCTATTCCTGACCTTGACCTTGCCTCTGGACTCTAGTGACTTGCAAAGGGGTTCTAGTCCCGTCAAATTGGAGCTGGAAGAACTAGAAGAGGTCATCTAGTTCACTCCCTCATTTACAGACGAGGAAACTGAGACTAACAGTCTCGGGATCATACAGCTACGACATGTCTGAGGCCAGATTTGAACCCAAGTCTTCCTGACTCCCAGGTCCAACATTCTTTCAGTAATACCACAGCTACTTCTGCCACCTTCAGGGCTTTTACCAGCCCAACCAAACTGTACCCCAGCTGTGGTTCCATGGCTAGGGCAACAGACCACTTGAAACCTGAGACTGAGATTTCTTTAACAAAATTTCTTTAATAATTTCTTTTAATAAAATTTAAAATTTCTTTAATAAAACACACATTCAGAACCCCCCCCCAGATAAAATCATTCCACAAAATGGCAAAAGGTGCTCACACAAAGATAAAAAACAGGATGCAATAAGAGCAAAATTTGAGGTATTCTGGGGTCCCACTAGAGATCTAGAACTATCTTTACATTCTCCTTGCCCCAAAGCCCAACATCTGGGATCCAGGTCAATCCACCCACAGGGCAAAGTTAACTCAAATTAACCCAGGTGGTTTCTCAATGTCTTGGTTTACCACATCCAGCTCCCCTCCCTTGGTAGTGGTTGCTGGTGTGGAAGTGTGGTGGTAACGCAAGCCATCCCCACTCCACGAGCACCCTGGCCTGCAGCAGACATCGCAGAACCTCCCAGAGAGGATGATACCAAGCAGCTGGCCTGGACTTCCTCTAAGTGCCAAATTCAGGCCTGTGAGATCATGTAGGGTCAAAGTCTCTCTAAACCACAAACCCTATGAAGGCAGGGGCCTTTGTCTACAACTGCCATCATTCACTCCCTGTGTAGCCCTGAAGAAGTCACTTATTTTTCTGGGCATAATTTTCTCCATGGGTAAAATGAGGAGACTGAACGAGATTACCTCCAAACTTCCTTCCAGCTCTAGATCTACACAAATAGTCTCCTGACTTTGCTTTCTTACTGAATTAGTAGATAAGATTTAAGAGCAACACCGATCCTACATCCAATTAAAAATTTTGCTCCTGGTATAATTTCTTTGAGGCCCAGTCAGACTGCTTCAGGCCCTCGGTCTGTGGGACCATGAAGTCAGGTCACTCCTTTCAATATGGGCCATATCTAGCCTTGTTGTCTTGACTTTTGGTCCTCTTGAAACCTTTCCCCATCCCCTCTCCCACAGAGGAGATTAATGGTGCTTGGATGGAGGAAGCTAACTAGTCCTGCTTTTCTCTAACCCCACACCCCCTTCATCCGGGTAGCAGAAAGCATAATCCCCAGACCATTCACTCTATCAAATTCAGCCAAAGTGCACTTATCAGAAAGGAAACACACCGAACCACAACTTAATAATGTTTGGCACCAAACCAGGGGCTCTTGTGGGCTAGGCAGCTGCTGAGAAATCAGCTGGTAAGGATCAGGCCCCTCCTTCTGGCTGGGGAAAAAAACCTGAGGCTCTTTGCTCAGGCAACCTCTAATTGCATCTGGTATGACTGATGCAATCCTGCGGAGGGGGAGATGAGAGGGAGGATGAAGGTTCTCCTCTTCCAGTCAGCAAAGAGGAAAAGAAAAGCTAGACCCTTCTGGGATACCTTTCATCAGCAGGATAAGACTCTTGAGAACAGGTAAAGCTAGGGAGGGAGGAAAAGAGGAAGGGATTGACAACGGAAAGAAAGGAGGGAAGGAGCAAACAAAAGAAGGGAGGGAGGAAGGGAGAAAAGGAAGAAAAGGCAAGGAGAGAAGGGAAGGAAGAAAAGACACCACCAGAGCCCTTGCTAACCCTAAAGACAAGAGGCAGTTCAAGTATTCTGCAATACCAGATAACATAATTTTAATCTTCTCTTTACCAAGACCTGCAAATCCCAAGGATCCGTTCATTCTCAGGCTACTTCTCTACCATTCTTTCTCTGCATACACCAGTCCTAGATTCAACTGTGCTGCTCTGATGGACTAAAATGGTCTCTCTTCTTTCTGTCTACCTCTCCTTGGGAGCTATGTTCTGACAGGTTGGCCCGGAAAGTCATCCTCTGCCCCATCTCAGGACCCAGATCTTCCAAAGCCTCTTACGCTAAGACAAGTGGACAGAGAATTCTCTCTCCATTTTCCACCCATCTGCACCATGGATCCCTTCCACGTAGAAAACAGACAACTAATTCCATATTTCATATGGTCTCGCTCACCTCCCAGGTCAATTTAGCTAGTAAGATCTTAAGAATTCAAGATGGGGGAAGCATATGACTTGCCCTGAAAACAACTCTTAATTATCACACGGACTGACTTTTGGGGGAAGATGATTAAACAAATACAGCAGACTCAACTTACTGATCATGGTGGTCCCACCAGCTAAGGCGGCTTTAGTCCCTTGGAAGAAGTCGTCTACTGTGGTCATTCCCTTGTATGGCATCTGGAAGTGAGTGTGAACATCTATGCCTCCGGGGATTACCATCTTCCCATGAGCTTCAATGGTCTTCACCCCTCCAGGTACAATCAGATTGTCTCCAATTTGCCTGAAGAGACAGGGACAAAGATAGTGACCACACTCAGAAGAAAGCCCAAAGGACCTGCCTTAACACCACAAAGGATTTCATCAACTTAACTTCTCTGCCCATGGCTGAAGAGCATTCCCTCCTAACCACTACGACTCAGAGCCCCTAGTTTCATCCAAAGCTCAACTCAAGTGACACCTTTGATATGAGATCTTTCCTGATTCCAACACCATCTAGCGCCATCTCCCTAAAAAATGACCTCCTATTTACTCTGCATATGGCTTGTATATACTTACATGTGCGCGTGCTGTCCCCCTCAGTGGAATGCAAATTCCATGAGGGCAGGAAATTTCATTTTTATCTTTGTATCTGCTGCACCTACTTCAGCAAAAAAGCACAGAAACACAGATGGAAATCTGAACAGTCCCCAGAGCCACTCAATTCATTTTAGAGACAGGGAACTGAGGCCCACTGAGGTCAGGAGACTTGAATGAGGTCATAAGGTTAACCAATTATCAGAAGCAGTATTTGAACCCAGGACCTCTGACTCCAGAGCTTAATAAATGCTAGCTGATTATTTGTCAAAGCTTCCCTTCCAAGCAGTTCACAGATTAACATGGCAGGATATCATCAATGTAAACAAATTAAATATATCATGCTGGGTGCTTAAAAAAATGAGTGTCCTTGAAAACTACCTTACAATCTATGAACAGGTCCAAGCTCTCAAGCACACGAACATATCAAGGGACATCTCAAGTATCAAACTGGTCCCCAGCGAATGTTTTAGGTTTTTATCTTTATTTCCAGTTCCAAGTTCTTTCCCTCCCTCCACCCACTGAATACAACACCCATTACTGCACACAAAGTCACACAAAACTTATTTCCCCATTAGCCAGGTTCCCTCACCCCTTGCCAAAAAAAAAAAAATAAAATAAAAAAAAGGAAAACAAAAGGCAAAAATTATGCTTCAATCAGCAATCTGAGACCATCCGTTCTCTCTCTGGAAGTGGACAGCATTTTCCATCATGCGTCATTCAGAGTTGTGGTGGACCATCGTATTCTAAGTCTTTCACAGTTAATCACCATTACAATATGGCTGCTACTGTGTGCAATGTTCTCCTGGTTCTGCTCACTTTGTTCTGTATCAGTTCATGGACATCTTCCCAGGTTTTTCTGCTCATCACGCCATCACAATCACATACCACAACATGTCTAGCCATTTTCCCAACTGACAGAAACCTTCTCGGTTTCCATTTCTTTACCACCACAGAAAGAGCTGCTATAAACACTTTTGCACATATAGGTCCTTTTCCTTTCTCTTTCATCTCCTTGGTACATGTGATATATTTAGACTTAGAGGAAGATCTCATTAAAGCAGTATAGTATAGTGGATAAAGCAATGGACTGAAAGTCAAGGAGACGTAGGTTCAAGTGCCAGCTGGGGGATGAGAAATGCAAAGACCTCCGGGGTCCTTTCAGCTACAGATATGCAAGCCTGTGACTGGATCCGAGACCTCCAGCACACGGAACAGACTGTCTACAGGAGAGCTATGAGTCTACGCGTAGACAAGAATCCAGTATGAGAAGCTACACAGCGGTTGTGATTGGCATTCTTCGGGGTGGGGGTGGCTTTACCAATGAGCTCACTATTTCACTGAACCATAATTGAAGACATAGCTAGACTAACCTTTGTATCTCTCCTCCTAGGTACAGAGCACAGAGCTTGGCACACCACAACAAACACTTCACAAATATTTGTTGAACCAAAAGAATGTGGGGTTTTTTTCCTCAACAGAGAGGAATCAGATACATATCTTTTAGTTATTTTGTGGGTTTGCTATTTCTGCTATTTTTATTTTTGCCATATTTGGTATTTTTATTTGGGGCCTTAAGACTAAGGAGGTAACAGTGTTTAGGAATCCTAAGCAGAATAAGTGAAAATAAAAAATTAGAATACCGATTTAATTAATTTTTTAAGAATCCTGATTTAATTAATTAAATAGTAGGGGCTCTTCTACCCTAGAAATTAGTTCATCCTGGTTAAAAGGGAACAATCCCTTTGTTGGCGCCGGGTCAGCTGAGTCGCTCTTGCCTCAGTTTTCAGTCCTCCCCTTCTCTGCCACCTTATCAGTTGTCCTAAGCCAGCAGAACATGCTCAGGGTAGAAGAGCTGGTGGAAAGTGAGACTGGGGTTTCTCCAGCATCAGCTCTTTGTGTTAAATCGGCATCCTAGCAGATACTAAGCACCAGTGAAATTATGGCCCTGTGCTTTTAGTACGGTGTGTGGTATACCGCTGGTGCTTAATAAATGCATTCTGCTTGACTGTTCACTGACCATCTGTTTTCCAGATCTACTGCATCACTCACTAAGAATCCCAATATACCATTGAAGAAGGGGGAAGGAGAGGGGTGAACAGGCCAATAGTATTCATCCCAGTACAGAAGAGGTAAAAACGGAGGCACAGAACATTCAGGTGACTTCCCTTGGGTCACACCACCAGCACAGAAGGAACACGTGTGCTATTTCCCAAATCAACGCTCTCTTTCCTGAACCAACCTAGAAGGTACCATAAAACGGTGAGAGCATTTCCAATGCATGTAATCCAGTATCACACTAAAATCTGAAGGAGCAGACACTGTATCATTTTTACCTTTACATTCTCATTAGCAAGAAGAATATCCGGCACCTAACAACAGCTTAATAAATGCTTGGTGATCATAATGACCCAACACAATTCCACAGGCAATGAAACCTGCTGCCCAACTCCTGACAGAGGTGGTGGACTCAGTGGGCTGAATGAGACCTCGATTCTTGCATGTGGCCAAATTGGGAATTTGGTGAATCTGATTTCCTTGACTATACATATTTGTTACACGGGGGGGGGGGGTTCTGTCTTTTTCTATAGGCAGGAAGGGGGCGAAGGTAGAAGGGAAAAAAAGCAGATTTTCATTAATTGAAAAAATAAAACTTAATTTTAAAGAATGCTTGGTGAATTGAATTCACAAGGCACACATCATTTTATATATATTATTCACCTATAACGCACATGTAAACCTGCTAACATTAATTCCACTCCCAGATAATGCTTCAACTCCTAAGATCAGCATGCACACCAACTCTTCAATCATAGCTTGGAAGACCCTCTGCCCCTAGAAAAGTATCTCTGAAAGTGTGGTCGAGAGGTCCCTAATGGTCCTCAGAACCCTTTCAGGGGGTCTGTGAGGACAAAACAATTTTCACAATAACACTGAGACATTTTAATTTCCAATATGGTAAATATCAATAGATAGAACATACAAAAGCTCTGGGGGGGAGGGTTCAATGACTTTTTAGAGTGTAAGGAGATCCTGTGACCAAAAAATTTAAGAACTGCTGCTCCAGAGCAAGGGTTTTTTAACAGGAAGTCCATGAACCTAGTTTTTAATATATCCTATTTAATACATCATTAATTTTTAATATATTATACATGTACATACAATATACTATAACAATATATGTGTTTTAATATCTCACAAATTATAAGTTATCTTTTATAAAGTATAAGTTATCTATTATAATAAAGGGAACCAATTACATAGAAATGCTGTTATTCAATCGTTCATGACCCCCTGACCCCCTGTGGGGTTTTCTTGGCAAGGATAATGGAGTGGTTTACCATTTCCTTTCCAGCTCATTTTCCAGATGAGGAAACTGAGGCAAACTGGTTTAAGTGACTTGCATTAGGGTCACACAGCTATTAAGTATTTGAAACCGGATTTCAACTAAGGTCTTCCTGATTCAGGACCAGCACTCTACCCACTATGCCGCCTCACTACCTTATATAGAAATAGTTATCAAAATACATTTATTGTGTATTTCAAAATGCAAACATGTATGTGTCTTGATAACTACTTAAATTATACTGAACCTAGTTTGAATATATACATATTAAAATATTACATATTATAAATTATGTTATAAAAGGAATCAATTATATTTCAATATAATCTGAATAATTCATAATCCAGTAGTTCGATAATATTTCAATATATATCTCAATACAATATATATATTTGGATAACTATTTCAATGTAATTGGTTCCATTTACAATCCCATGTATTTTATTTTATTGTTTAAAACATTATTCTGAGAAGGGGTCTAAAGGCTTCATTCACCAGGATGCCAGAGGGTTCCACATCACAGAAAAGGTTAAGAACCCCTGCCCTGGAGAAAGGCTGCTAAATGCTAGTTTTTATTCACAGTCAGAAGCAGATTAGCCATATGGCCAGGAAAGATTCTCTCTTGGGGCAGTGAAATGCTTACTACTGAGTCTGCCAAACTCCAAGTTCTTTTATATTTAGATATATTTCATATATAAATATATATATATACATACATACATACATGTGCACATACAAACATATGTGTATATATGTGCGTATACATGCTGCGCGCGCGCGCACACACACACAACACACACACACACACACACACACCTGAATGTCCCTGATAATCCATGTTGCAGCACTCAGCTATTCCAGAAACACTATGCTATTCCAAACAATGAAAAAATAACTCCTCACCTCATCTTAGCTTCATCTCAACTCAAATACCCAACGGCTCCACTGGCATTCCCCCCCCCCTTCCCGACTCTACCCAGGTTCATTAGGAACCAACCACTTGGCTAAAGAATCTGGATTCTGAGGACTTCTCCAACTTTTCATCTCTTTTGTCAACTAAGGAAAAGCGTAAAGACTGACGTGATGCGCTCTCCCTCTCCATCTATATAAATTGTATCTATTCCCGAAGGCCTGGCCCAAGTCCTACATCTTCCATGAAGCCTTCTTTTCCCATCCTTATCCACAGTGACCTCTTCCATGAACTCCTATAGTACTTACTGTCTACCATTTTGGTACCTTTTATCATATACACACTGCTCAATACTGCTAATCATCTTTTCATCTATGTAACACTTTCCCTCTCTAACTATAACGTCATCTTCTCAGTGGGGTTGGTTCTCAGGGCCTAGTACAGAGCCTTG